GAAAAAGGGAGCAGCACTGCATATGAACCTAAATACATCCCTAAGTCAAGTTTTGCTATGACTGGGAAACAAAAAACCCATTCTAAAATCCCATGGGCTTCTGCTGTCAGCTGCGAACAGAAATGCCAAACTGTATTCCAAATATATCTGAGTGCACGCAGAGAAGCAACTGAAGGCACACGATATTCCAGGAGGCGCCCTCTAGAGGCCAAAAGACACCGCTTTAGAACACAGGAGGTGCTCTAGGACCAATACTCTTTCCAAAAGTACCTAAAGGGATAACAAATTTATTTTGGAAAGATATGTCAAAATTAACACCCCATTTAATATCCTCTTGCATTTGGCATACATTCTACAGTAAAAAGAAATCTTTTTGTCTCCTTCCAAATCGGAGTTCCTGAAAGAGTGCTCTTAGCTGATCTTTTCCCACCTCACACCTTGCTTTCCTCAGTATAGAAATAATTAGTCTTGATACATGAAGACATAGACCAGAAAAGTTCTGGTTTTCTACTGTTGCACCCCATCTGGGAAAAAAAGCCTAGCTCAAGAGAGCCTTCATTTAATCGTGAATTGCTGGGTTTAATTGCTTAAGGATAAGGTTGTCTTCAAAGGATGATAGGTTTTCACAAGGAATATGAGTTTAGAGCTAGGTACTAAAAACTGTTCACTCTGCTGCTTTTGTGAGCATGTTCAAACTTTTAATCTTACCTCAGCCATAATATTTTTGAGCTGCAGAATACAAAGAAATTTAGCTCACCAAATACTTGCATTGGCTTTCAAAATGTTTATGGCAGCCTCTGCAGCTCTATGTTTCGCCAGCTTCTTACTTGTACCTTCACCTGAATCAAGGTTAACAACAACAAAATATATACTGTGAAAATGTGAAGCTTGCAGAGATGTTTTCATAATACAAAACAAAGTCACCACAGGTTTTACATATACATACTAGGTAATAAAAACATACTACAAACATGCTGTAATAAAATATTCACCACATGAAATACATTTAATAACCTATGATTTTAAAAGTTCTATGTATTTAATTCTATGCATACCTGAATTAAAAACCTACATTATGTCTATAGTATATGTTTATTTCATAAAATGGTAATAAAGTAAACCATGTCATACCTTTTGAAGGAATGCAACTTAGTATTTTATTCTTCCCCTATTTACAGAGAGAAATTCTTCTGTAGCCAGAAGTTTCCTTTATGGGAGCCACTTACACAAAATGTGCACAACTTTATTCTAACAGCCTATCCTACATGGCATTAAACCCCTTGACTGGCTACAGTCATGCCCATTTATTGGGTTAGGTGTGGAAAGAATTATATAGGGAAGAAGGGGAGAGCTTATTATGTCTTCCGCACAATCTATATCCCTCAATTGGGTAGCCAAAGGGGTGGCAGGGGATAGGCCCGACTAATCACTAATACTGATGCCTAATTTCAGTAAGTCATCACACCTAGTAAATGGTAAATTCAATCTTTTTCCTTCTGTGTTCAAACTAGGTGGTGAGAACCCTTTGAAAGTGGTATCAGAATACTTATGTCCATTCCACTGGTGGAGGAAAGAAAGGAGACAGGGAATAAATTTCAAGTGTGACCCTCAAGGGTCAGAAGAAACACACTGGTGGAGGAAAGAAAGGAGACAGGGAATAAATTTCAAGTGTGACCCTCAAGGGTCAGAAGAAACACACATCATATTCATTTACCCACTATCAGAAGTATTAGAGATACAGGAGAGAACTAAATGGAGTCCCTACCTTTGAAGAGCACAAACCCTACTGTGGAATTTATTCTGTAAATAGGCATCTGAAATATGAAATGGTACATGTGACGACAGGCCTAAGTGCAGGTTGCAGGGGTACACACAAAAGGGGCAGCTCCCTCAGTCTTAGTAAGAATTCAGAAAGGTTTTGTGAAGGAAGGGATACTTAAGTGAAGACTTGAAAGTTGAGTAAAAGCTAGTAATGTCAAGAAAGCTAGGGGTTTAAAACAATCTAGGCAGAGAAGAGGCAAAGGCTCAAAGGTAAAGAGCATGCTGATGTTCTCAAGAGTACCACATAGTTGGGTACCACAAGAGCTTGAAGGAAGAAATTTTGAGATAAAAGGCTAGAGTTGGAGGGTAGGAGGAGAAGTTAGAGAACAGTCTCCTAAATTTGTGCTTCTCAAACTCTAACGCGCATAGGAAGTGCCCAGAAATTTTGTTAAAATGCACACTCTGGTCCAGTAGGTCTGGGAGGTGCTCAGATGATATCAATGCTGCTGTTGATCCCACTTGGAACAGCAAAAATCTCAGTCATGCTAGCAAATCTGCATTTTTTCCCAGAGGGTTACTGGGAGAATTTTAACAAGTGGAAGTATATGAACAGACTTTAATTCCAGAAAGAACACTTTGGTTGCTGTGTGGAGAATGGACACAAGACTAAGAACTGAAGAACAGTTATAGGACTGTAGCCATAATTCAAGTGGAAGATGACAGTGGCCCAATCAACAGTGAAGGGAAGAGGAGACAAGCAGAAAGATTCAAGATATTTAGGAAGATCTAGTGACAGACTGGACAGGAGGCAGAGGGAGGGGAAGTAGTCAAGGAGATGAGACCCAAATTTCCACTATGAGCCAATGGGAATGGTGGTGCCTTTACTGAGGTAGGGAAAGCAGGGGGAATTTGAGAGAGAAGATCAATTCAGTTTGAATCAATGAGAGACTGAGGTGCCTTTGGGCCACCCGTGATATCCAGACAATACTGGCTGATACACTGTTCTGTAACTGGGCCTGGGTTGAAGAAAGAGATTTCAGAATTATCAGCCTTTAGATAGTATCTGAGGCTGTGAAGCAGACAGGCTTGCACAGGAAGATAAGGCAGTGTCCGAGGAGTATGGGGCCTGGGCAGAATGGTTGCCATAGGCTATTGATCTCTGGTCTATAACACAGTGAAGGGGGAAAAGCCACTTTTTCTTAAATTTTCACATAATATTTAAAAATAGACCAGGTAAAGAAAGTTATGCATTGTTGATTCTGTGGTTCATATGACACCTCCAATTCACCTGCCTCACACAGACAAACTTCAGAAGTGTCTTAAAGTGGTTTCAATCATAATAGCAAACTTGAGATTTTCAGGGACACAAGTGATGCCTTCAGATTACCAGATGGTAGAACTTCAGCCTTCCTGCTGAATTTTTTCTTGACATTCTTCCAAATTAAATTTGCTACTCAATATTTTTTGTTTGCAATTAAACAGATCCAGAAATAAAATGTCTACCTTTACAAATGGGGAGCTTCAGCTATAATTTGCTCAAACTCACAGATCATAATAATGTGAGTTTGAGCTCTGAAACATCATTGCCATTTGATCTTGACCTTGTTACTTATCTCTGTGAGCCTATTTCCCCATGTATTAAAAGAGGAGATAATAGCTTATTAAAATACCTTGTATAGTGTCAGGAACTAGAAGTTGCTATGCAATCAATATGGAGTATTTGAGCCTCCTGCCTTCCTCATTTTGCTTGGATATGGAATCAAATGTAGTACAATGAGCCCAAAGGGCCAAATGAGTCCATATAGAAAGATGAGACGCTCAGAAAATTCTAGGGTCATGCCCCCTGGCATCTGTTATAAACTATGGAACTATAAAACTTGACAGCACCTACTGATCCAGCTATGGCTGCTCCAAGAACCTTTCCTGATTCCCCCTAATTCCTGGAAGAAGAACCTAGGAGGATCTTAGGATGTTTCTGAGTTTCTCTTGGTATCTCTGAAAGAGAAAATTAGATGAAATTGTAAAATCCTAATGGCCTGGTATGTTTCCTAATGAGAGGTATCCTAATGAGAGGTATGTTTCAAGAACTGGTTCTCACAGCTGTCTCGAGTAAGAAGGGCACTTGTCCAACTGATTAGCAATAGCAAGTCTGGACCGCCAACCCGCATGGTCGTCGGGGGTTTACTGTGCATACAGACCTGTGCAGGTTATGTCACCAACGGTTACTCTGAAGGTGAAAGTGGGCACGTGTATTTGCATATCGGATCTTTCACATTCATAAACAGGGACGTTCTTGGTCTTCATGCCGTATTCGTGTAATACCTGAATCGGTGTTTTCCCTGGTTTAGCTGTAATCATCTTCCCCAAACTGCAAAGAGAAAAAGGTGTGGTTTGCATGCCAAAGCGGGGAGGGAAGCAGAAGCGAACCGAGGCTAGTTCTGACTATCATCAACAGTGGCGCGAGAGGCGCCAAAGCTCCCGGCGCCCAGAGCTGGCAAGGTGCTCCATCTGCCGGCCCCACTGCGGCGGGCACAGAGCCTGGGGATGCAGAGTGAGGGGCGTCTTTACGGAGGTAACTTGAATGAAGGTAGAGCCGATTCGCAGGGGAAGAGGTGCCGCAGCCTCTCAGGAATAACCCACGAATCCCAATCCCAAGGAGGCCGCGAACCATCTCCGCCCACTCTACCAGCCAAAGAAGGATGCAAGAGGGGCGGGGCCCGGCCGCAGACCCCGGCCCGCGTCGACAAGAGGGCGGGGCCGAGTGCAATACAGCAGGGGGGGGGGGGGACGCCGAGCGCCCAGAAGGGGCTTTACCCACAATGCCGCGGGAGAAGCCGGCTGTCCGCCCCCACCTCCCCAGCCGCCCCCCCACCCCGGCCCCGACCGCCTGCGCGCTGACCTGAAGGTCCCGCTGTCCTCGCGCTCCAGCGGCGGGGCCGCGGCTCGATGCCGGCTCTGGGACATGGCGAGAAGGCAGGGCTCGGCGGCGGGAGGAAGAGCAGCGCGAATCGACGTCCTCGCTCCTCGGGTCGGCGATCCCTGAGAGAAGCGTTCCAGAGCCGCCGCCTCTTCCTCCCCAACTCTCCTCCTCTTCTTTCTCCGACCCCCACCCTCTCTGCTCCCCTCCCGCGTCCCTCTTGCGAAGGGGACGGGTGGGGGCGGAGGCGGGGCCTCCGTGCGGCGACGCCGGTCCAGGTTCCCGGCCACACCTCCTTGCTGGCCGGGTTCCCGGCTCATCTCCAACCCTGGCCCCAGCCACCGGCTCCCAGTCTTCCCAGCGCCCAGCCACGCCCCTTCCCTCCATATTCCGCCCCCTTTCCCAGCCCGAGCGCTGCCCGCCGGGCGGTTTTGGGGCTTCTCTACCCCCAGTCCTCCGGCCTCATCGAGGCCACAGCTCTGTGTCCTTGAAAGGAGGCTGTTTCCTGTCCGGGGAAGCTTGTCGGGCGGCAAGCCTCACAGAGTCTGTAGGGCTTGAAGCTCAGCCTTCGTGTTTGTTTTCTTTCGGGCGGGGGCGGGGGAAGGATGAGGGCTGCGTCGCTTTCAAAAAAAGATGTCAAAATTCCAAATGCAAGTGGATAGAGAGCATCTGTGGGGTTGGCCCCGAAGCTGGAGACATGGTATATCAGCCTCTGAAGGCTGCGGTGGGCTCTTCCCTTGGAGTCCAGTCTTTAGGACCTTGCGGGGATGTCCAGAGGCAACCCCCACCATCTCTGTTGCCTCATGGGCTTCATTGTCTATTATAATCGGCTTTCGTCCCGAGATAAATGCGAGGTCTGCGGATCCCAGCAAAGCCCCTTAGGTGTAAAAGAAGGCTTTTCTGTAGACCGGATATCAGTTAAATACTGTTTCTGCACACCTGGGGTGTTCTTTGTAATGGCGTTTGCCTGGGATGCACCACCTTTGGTAAGGCTCAGACAGCGACATTGGATGCTGAATCGCTTCTCTAGGGGTTTGCTAGCCACTTGCACAAATGACTCCATGTGCTTTCCCGGTGTTCTGGAAAGCTGCTTTGCACAATACTATTCGCAGAAGGGACATTATCAAAAACTGATCTTTGGGGGCCCATGCGATCCGTGGATATTTGAAAGCAAATTTTAGAAAATGTCCAGAATCTAATCAAATTGACTAATATTATTTGAGGCTTGAATTAAACCGATTTCTTCCTCCCCCTACCGTCATATATGTATGTGTATTGATTACTATCCACTAATGTTATGTTTTAATGAGTATCTTGTGAATACCACATTGCCACTATTTCAAAATACAGGGTCCAGCAGAAAGGCCTGTTTGAGTGTGGTTGGTAGGTAACAATATGAATGCAATAATTTATAGTTTTCATTAGTCATTTCACCTAAAATGTCATGGTGTGCTTGAGTGTGATACTGTTACGGTACAGAATTACAGATTTATGATTTTGTAATTAAAAAAGGGGTGTTATTTGTGCCGGGCCCTGTATATTAACATCCACATATCTATGGCAATACAATATTTCAGCACTCAGATTTGTTTCTAAAATGTATTTTTAGCCACCAGACTCCTTTAAAACAAGCCAAAACTTACATAGTTCTCTTTAAAGGTTGAATAACTGGGATAATAATGATGAAAAATAAATGCAGCAGGATCTCCATTTAAAGAGATGTCCAATAGTCATCTGCAGAGTAAAAACCCCATATTGTCAGAGTTAATGTAGTTATTTATATATAATTTGGTTTTCATTTAGTATTTTATAAAGAGCAGCATAGGATTGTTTTCTTTAGTCTGTGATCTTATTATATTAATCATTTGGTTTTGTAGTCATACAAGGAAAATGAATGAGATGTTCAAACAATAAATTGGATAATGTAAGGATTGAAAACGACACTCTTTTGTTGCCGAAGTTGGTGCGATGGACGTGCGAAGGAACTTCCTTTGGACTCGGTATACTGTAGCTGGTGTCCAGGGACGATGTTGGTGCCCAACTGCACTATTCCCTCTGGAACATAGGGCTATATGTTTGCCTCAAAACTGGCAAACTGCTATTAAATTTGACCCTCTTTAAGGACATTGGTAGTATTTTAAAATTACTAGTTTTCTGTGTTTATTGTAGTGCTATAGACTGCAATTTCAAATGACACGTACTCTTAGTATATCAATTTACACTCTTGATCTATAATTCATTACCTGAGCGCACCAGGGGAGGCAGTGTTGTGAACAGTACACTGTAAACTACTTTGTGGAACCATGCATTGTATTTTTAACATGCATAATTGTATTTAAAATCAAGTAAGCCTTAGTCCTGTGCCTGATTTTCTTTGAAAATATGGATTTGTTATCTGAGGGGTGCAGTTGATGACATTTTGATACCATATTAATATGTTTGCTGCTGCTACCAAGAGCTTTGTCAAGCAAGTTGGAGATGGAGGGAGATTAGTTCCTGTTCCAAGCCTTAGTGAGGCTGACAAGTACCAACCTCTAAGTCTGGTGGTGAAAAAGAAGCGATGCTTTCTGTTTCCTAGATGTAAATTTACCTCGACACCTTTTACACTGAAAGATATTCTTCTAGGAGACAGAGAAATTTCAGCTGGTAAGTTTGAATGTGGGTCTGGGAGTGACTCCTCATTCAGCTATATTATTGGTAATCTAAACTTGGCCCATATAGACTGTTTATGTTCATAATATTTATACATTTTCACTGATAAAAGCAACTTTTATTACTATGGCAGTAATATTATTATGATTAATAGTGTCTAAAGTTTATAATAGTATCAAATCTCTTATTGATCAAATAATTTTCAAATCTATTTTATAAGATTATTTATTGTATAATTTTATTTCAATTATTTTATAAATTGTTTTAACCAAATCAATGTAGAATATGACATAATACATTTATTTATAAAATAGAGGTATTATTTAGTCCTACCTATCTCACATGGTCAAGTGAGATTAAAGTAATTTGTATTTATTTTTTATGATCACTTTACAGTTGGCAAACTGAAATATATTACAGACTAGGTTAGAAAATAAATTGACATTTTGGAAAATTATTTCTTAAAAACACCTGTTTTTCTTTCAACTACCTAGTGGATCTTGATGCTTAAGAAGTTCTGTTGAATTTGAGTTCATTTTAAGTACTCTGGCTATTATTTCTTCCTGTTTTCTAATTAATTAAATTGCTATTTTTAAACTTGGTTTAAAACATTGCCTTTCTCAACATTTGGGTAATCAAGTCTTAAATCGTAAATTAATGTGTTACTTTATGTAATCTATTCTAAATGAATTCATGACATTTGAAAAACACTAATTTTCTTTTTTTTAAAGGTGTTTCATCTTATCAGTTACTAAATTATGAAGACGAATCAGATGTTTCACTCTATGGAAGGCGAGGCAACCATATTGTGAATGACGTTGGTATTAATGTTGCCGGATCAGATTCTGTTGCAGTCAAAGCCTCATTTGGTGTGGTAACGAAACACGAAGTAGAAGTTTCCACGTTACTCAAGGAAATTACTACTCGGTCAGTATAATAATCCTTATATACTTTTTAGTGTTTTCATCAAATATTTTCATTACGTGAACTTATTATAAAGAATGATTAAAACATTCAGGCTATACTTTACTATTGTAATATATTTGTTTGAAATAATACAAATTACTAATATATCCAAACTTTGGATAAGAACAGATATCCAAAACCATTTCATTTAGACAGGCTTTTTCATTGTCCCACAAAATTGCTTTGAATCTGTACAGATTTGCTAAATTATTATATTAAAAGAGTCCAGGAATTTGCTTGTAACAAATATGCTAAAAGAGCCTCTCCAATAGACTCCTGTAACAAGCATGTTTTAAGAAAATAGAAAGGAGAGGTAGATTATTAAATTTTTTTCAATCCTACTTTCCAATGTGTATTAAGCCTGCCTTGATTTACTTCAGTTAAGTTAGACTGTGAATTAGTAACATACTGACGAAAAATGTACTGGGTCGTATGTAACCAGATGGTATAGATTCTTGTGAATGTCTCTCTTGTTTATTTTAGAAAAATTAATTTTGACCACAGCTTGATACGTCAGTCGAGGAGCAGCAGAAAGGCAGTATTGTGCGTGGTCATGGAGAGCATCCGGACCACGCGGCAGTGCTCCCTGTCCGTGCACGCAGGGATTCGCGGGGAGTCCATGAGGGTAAAGCCGCGCTCAGGTTTCCTTCACTGAGGGCCTGCCAGGGGAATGTTTTGAAAAGTACTCAATTTCTAATGAGACTTATGTATTTTTTCAAATGTTGAGATTGAAGAGCTGCAATGATATATAGGATTTTGCACAGTAATGGTTTTTAGAATGTGAAAATCCAAGAAAATTGCATTCTCAACATGTGTAATATAATGCAAACAGAACACCAATCCCTGTGAAATAATGTGCATCCTTCCTGTTGCTATTTAAGTGCAGTTTTAAGAATTAAAAATTAGATACTTCTGTGAATTCGTTGATTTTATTTTTAAGTGATGCAGTTTATACTTAAAATTTAATTGAATTTATATTTTTATATTAATTTTTCTAAAATAATATTGTCAGTGACTAAACTTACTTTGTTCAATGTTAAATCCTTTAAAAAAATCTCAAAAGTAATTTGTTTATTATCTCAATTATATTTGTCCTTGTCATTCACATAATAATGACTTGATTGGTTATGTTAAAACAAATTATTAGAAAGATAGGGTTCGATGATAATCTTTTCAAGTCTTTGAAAATAAAGGTTACATTTAGCTGCCCACCAGATTGTTTAACGTTGGATGATTGGGCCTTGAACAATTACTTAATTGTTGGTGATTGCTTTGGAAAACTGCCGGAAGCTCTGGGGGCTTTGGAACAGTAGACAGGATAGGCTGAAAAAGCCATTTCACTAAAATACAGTTGGTTGCAGTTGAAAGAGAAAGGCTTCTATGCCCTAGAGCTTTACTGTTGTGGTAGCACTAATCACTGACTCCAGTACCAAAGTGAGTGAGGAAGTGATGAGTAGTATTCCTGACGTAGAGCATGAGTTTCCATTGGACCATTTGGACCTTTGCTGTTAAGTTTACTTTGAAGGACAGTTCTTTACTTGAACAAGTGTTATGCTTTTTTGTTTTGTTTTGTATTATTTTTGGTGGGATTGTTTCTCCAAAAAGCTATCCTTACAGGTTATGCTCCTTAATAATGTTATTTTTTTTTTACTATAGTTTCACTTTATGGATGACCAGAATCCCAAGGGAAGGGACAAAGCTATTGTTTTCCCAGCACATACAACCATAGCTTTCAGTGTTTTTGAACTGTTCATTTACTTGGATGGTGCCTTTGGTAAGTGAATGACTTACATGAAACACTGAATTGATTAAATTTTTAAGAATGTAATAGGAAACACACACACGTACACACACACACTTTCTCTCTACTTATAGCAGACTGATGCTCTTAGCACCGTCCGTTTTATGCTTGGTGAAGTAGCCGGGAGATAGCCTGCAGCCCCTGCTTGCCCAGTACCTCTTTCCTGCTTTGTGGTAAAGGCTCTAGACTCCCACTGCCCCACTTACAATTACGGATAAGAGCTAAAATGCAATCCACTGACAAAAGTATTTCTTGACCTACACAGCAAGATAATACATGACCTTCTAATAGGTAGTTTTTTGATGTTGGCAAATAGAGGAATAAATAGATAGTAAAATGTGTGAAGATGTCAGGGCACCCAGATGAGTAGGCCCAAAGAAAACTTTAATTTTACCTATCATGACTTTCCCCCCAAACTTTTCCTAAAAATAACTTTAGAAATACAAATACTTCCTCTAATGTCACCTTCTATAATACCTCAGTGCAGCTCACTTTAGATTTCTATACTTCACAGACCTTCAAGGTTAGTAGGCCAGCCAGTGCAAGCCCAGGGGCAGGCCACACCACCAGGCAATGAGTGCTGTAGCCATGGTCATTTGTAAACTTTTTTAGACCTGTTTGTGTTTGTTTCTGAAGTTCTGAGGGAGGAGAGAAGGGGCAGTCCAGAAACAAAATAAAACATGCAAAGTAAAATCTATTCAGGATGCTTCGGCTGCAGGTTTTTACAATATTTTGATAGGAGTATGAACTGATAGAGTTGATATAGCCATCTAAATTTAAAGTGTGCATATACTTTAGCCTTGCACTTTTAGAAATTTATCCTATAGCTATATGTACATGCGTGAAATGATAAGGATATAAGGATATTTAGTTCGTAATACCAGAACAGAAATAACCTTCAGATCTATTATCAGCAACTAGTTAATGTGCATCAACAGAATAGAATACTAAGAATGAAATAGCACTATATATTCTGACATTGAATACTAAGAGGTATTTGAAAGAAATGTGTGCAGTTTGTAACTTGTTGAGCCTAAAGAGTTTTACATACACACACACACACACACACACACACACACACACACTCCTTTACACTTGTAAAATATAGGGATCATTTCTGGACATAAACACAAGAAAGTTAATAGTTGGTTACCTCTGGGGCGGAAAACTGAGGCTGGGGTCAGTGTAGACTGGAGACTTCTTTGTCACTGTATCCCCTTTTTGTACTTTGAATTTCGTACCATCTGAGTATTACCTTTTCTTAAAAAATGTAAAATTTAATGTAAAAGATGCAGTGAGGGCATGTATCAGAACTCACCAACCACAGCTACATCAGTCACAAAATATGAATTCAAGTCATAACATCTTCTACATTTATTTTACAGACCTTTGTGTCACTTCAGTGTCAAAAGGAGGATTCGAAAGGGAAGAAACAGCAACGTTTGCACAGTTCTACAGATTGAGAAATATACTCTTTGAAAGAAGTATGTCCTTTGAACAGTATTTTAAAGGCGTTTTTTTAACGTCTGGGCTTAACATTTAATTGTCTATTAGTAATCCTGTCTATTAAGAATTTAAATTCGAAAGCCTAATTATTTCATGACTAGTTGTTTAGATTCCTGTGATTATAAATGCAGCTCAGTTATGTGGTTTTTTATTTGATTTGACTTCTGACACATTTCTCTGTTTGTGTCCTTTTAGATAGAAGAGTGATGGATGTCATTTCTCGTTCACAGCTTTACTTAGATGATCTTTTTTCTGACTACCATGACAAAACTTTCAGCATGACCGACATTTCCCTCAAAGAAGGGACGCACATCCGAGTTAACTTACTTAATCACAACATCCCAAAAGGACCTTGCATTCTCTGTGGAATGGGAAACTTGAAAAGGGAGACGGTTTATGGGTGCTTTCAGTGCTCTGTCGATGGGCAGAAGTACGTGAGACTTCATGCAGTTCCCTGTTTTGATGTTTGGCACAAGAGAATGAAATAAAATACAAAATGTATCTGCCTGTGTTTAAGGCGCAGCTGTACCACACACGTTCCCAGACCCCCGGGTTCTCTTTGGTGAACTGTGGCAAGTTAAAGAGGGACAGGAAACAGATGAATCTCTCTGGGCATCATTCCCCACATATAAAGTGGACAGGAGAATGATGAAATCTTCTCGTAAGTTGTCATGAAGGTTAATACTTTTTGTTTAAAAAAGGCTTAAATATAAAATAAGAATGTAGATGTTGTCTATAAAATCTGCCAGCTGCATTAGAAGTACTTTGGGTATTTAGTCCACCATTTTAGGAAACTTTTACATAGAGGTTTTTTTGAAATACTAATTTGATTTTAATCAGCCTTTAATTAAATTTAAGGATGAAAAGAATGTACAAGAGGTGACTTTATGGTGCTTTAAGTATTGCCTTATGTCTGGTAAAATGAGAAAAATGTGTTAATAATTTAATGTAACCCTAACTGTTTAATTGCAGTATCAGATTAAAAGCACACCGAGCTCAGTGTGGGCATTGCGCACACAGTTAACAGGGCGACTGAGAGTCACTACATGGGCTGCTATTCTGTACTATACATATGCTTGCCAGCCTGGGCTTCACAAAATTCACCACTGTCATTTCAAAGTTAAGACAGCTAGGACATGTTCATTTCTTGTCTTTTTTGAAAATGTTTAAAACTTTTAACATATTTATTCCTGAGCAATCTTTTTTGTCTGCTCTGTGAGACATCTGAAATTTTTCTTAAACAACCTAAATTATTTACTATCTACCCTTATGAAAATAATTGCAAAAATAACATGTTCAAATTCTAGACCTCAGAAGTGTGTAATTACAGCACTCATGGTTAGCTATATGCCTATGAAGGTGTAACACAATTGTGCAAACACAAACTACTTGTATACTATATTCATGTAGAATGATTAAAGTTTTATTTTTTAACTATTTAAATGTGACTTTTCATAGTAAGTCTCCATATTCATTTGATATCATTTGTAATTTTTTTTAAACATAAGTTTAAAAGTACTTTGTATAAAGACAATGGGAGAGAAAGGTTAGAATGATAGTTTATATTTTTTGAGAATTTCCATTTCCATCTTCTGTCATGGTACTTTTGATTCGTATGCTCATATCAAATGCAGATATAAGCATACGAATCAAAAAAGGGTCTAGTGACTTTTTATGTAAAGAAAATGGGGGCAGTTTCCAAATCAAAATGTAACATTGAGTTATCAACTTAGTTTACTTAAATTGAGCAGGTTTTTCTGAGGAAAGTAAGGGAATGAAAGAGTTGATGAATCAGCAAGGAAGGAGAAGTTATAAAACTGGTAGAGGAATGATGCAATGCTGGAAGGAAAGAAAACATAGTAAAGTTTTTGTTTACAAAGTGTCAAACTCTGTGCTATGCAAATGTGACATCCACTGGTTTGGTGGTTTTTGTGTTATCCCTACACTTTTAAATACAGAATTTTGATGAACAATGAATAATGGTTTGGAAAGAGCAAGTTTCAGAAAATGGAAAAAGGTTAGTTTTAAACCTTTCCAAACCTTAACCTTAGGATTGAAGGGCAGATAGCTTCCAAGAAAAAAACTGAAGGAGTTCATCATCACCAAAGCATTATTATATAAAATGTTAAAGGGACTTAAGAAAAAGAATATCAAAACTCTGAATAAAATGGCATACTATACCAACAACTGAATCTAAAAAACAAACTAAGCAAAAAAGAACAGACAGAATCATGGATACAGAGAACATTTTGATGGTTGTTAGATGTGAGTGGGGAGGGAGAGAATGAAGAGATGAGGTAAGAAGTACAAGTAAGTAGTTACAGAATAGCCAGGGGGATGTCAAGTACAGTATGGGAAATGGAGAAACCAAAGAGCTTATTTGCATGACACATGGACATGAACAATGGTGTGGTGTTGCCTGGGGGAGTATGGGGTGCTGGATGGAGGGGCACAAAGGGAGAAAAATTGAGAAAACTGTTAACAACATAATAAAAAATATATAATTTAAAAAACTTGCCCTGGCTGGTGTAGCTCAATGGATTGAGAGCAGGCCTGCAAACCACATGATCACGGTTCAATTCCCAGTCAGGGCACATGCCTGGGTTGCAGGCTGGTTCCCTGCAGGCCAGTTCCCAGCAGGGGATGCACTAAAGGCAACCACACATTGATGTTTCTCTCCCTCTCTCCTTCCCTTCCCCTCTAAAGATAAATAAATAAAATCTAAAAAAAAAAAAAAAAAAGATGTGCCTTGCACTTTACTAAAAAAAAAAAAAAAATTTGATGGCATGCCAATTTGTGATGTTCATTGATGATTAATAACAAAATCACTGAGAAATGAAGTGACATAGGATAGAGTTACCTAAAGAAAGGGAACTGGAAACTAAGAAATACCATGACCGATTAAAATCTAGACAAGAAGTTAAGGATGATAGATATAAAGGTCTACAAGAAGGAAGAGGCGTGGCATTTTATAATGTCTGAGGGAGTACAAAACTTACAGCAGTACAGGGTCTATTACGCCTGCTACAAGAGGCACAAAGCCTTCGGTCTGATCAAATATCTTTAAACACTCTCCATTGGAACAAACACCTAAAGCCAAAAGCTTGCACCGAAAAGTACAGAGACCGTGTTGAGGCTCTCTATGGGATAGTTATATACAACCTATATTTTCCTGCATGCATACCAAAACAAGAATCTTCACTCCTATGATTTTTATATACCACCTAACAGTAATGCTATGAAATGTATAAACATTGAAATGTTAATTCCTGGGTCCCTAATGAAAAAACTCAAATATGGGGCATTTTAACATTTAAAACATTAAAAAGTGGTTACTTACATATTTTTATGTGTTGTTAAGGTGAGAGTTGGGAAGAGTTGTGTAGATTTTGGCACAGATTTATCCTCCTGTTTCTTGAAGGGGAAAAACTGCCCACTGGGACACAGAGGTCAATTTCATGGTGCTGCCACTCATGCTCACAGAATAAAGCAACAGCAAACACAATCGTGCCATTCCTGAATATTACATTTGCAAAATACCCTCACATTTATTCAAAAGTTACATGTATTGAGGACATCAAAATATGATCTCATAGGGAAAAATAGAAACCACACCTTGGAGAAAGTGACTTTGTTTTATATACAAAGTACATTAAATAGCTAAGACAACTGAGAAATAAGCATATGCTACAGTTCATCATGTTGGTATACATTGTATTCCCTGGGAGAAATGAAGCCATCGCCATCATGGTCGTTCTTCTTAAAAATGTCCTCTAAAACTGCATTCTGGTATGACTTGTCACGTGGCTGGTCATCTTTTTCAAAGTCCCTTTTCAGGTAATGATATATCTAGGGGGCCAAAATAATATTTCATTAACAAGAAGATATCACAATACATTTTTAGTTAACTTTGAAGAAATGTTTTAATAGAGTAAGACTACTTATAATAAGTGATACAGAATTTTCAAAAGATATTTGAGGTTTTATTTTTTTAATCTTTGAAGCTATCTTCTGAAGAGAAACATCGTCAAATTAGCTTCCCCTGAGGTTAGTAGTACATACTCAAAGACTAATATCTGAATTGAATTATGTTGAAACTAAATGTTTTCTAATAATATATACTGTCCACATTATCAAAAGGAATTCACTCTCAAGGATTTCCATTGGTGAATAAAATATAAATTGGTGCATAATCAATGAAACCCAACCACAGGTTTTGAAATAAAATTTAATTTTCTTAATTTTTCTATGCTTCCATAACTATCTCAAATGTATAAACTACAATAATCTCTCTAATAAATAAAAAGTATTCTGAAATATTTCCTTTTCTCTACATAATATGACAGTTTTCTAAGCAAAGACACATCATAAGCCCTGCCTAGTATGGCCATTACTAGTCGCAGGCACTTGAAATGTAGCTAAATCAAACTGAGATATGCTACAGTTATGGTAGAATACACAACAAATTGGGAAGACAATAAAAATATCTTGGTAGTTTTTATACTGATTTAATGTTGAAGTGGTAATATTTGAGATATGAGTTAAACAAAACATATCATTAAAATTAATTTCACCTGTTTCTTTTTTTTTAAGATGTGGCTACTAAAAATTTTAAAATTATATGTGACTCAATTACATTTCCATTGGAAAGAGCTAATATGTATAATAACTAAAGAGTCAATGCACAGTGATTTGGAGATAATGTTCAACAACAAGGCTAGGCATTGTACAGGCAAGAGCTGACGTTGGACCCCAAGAAGTTTTTAGCAATCCATACCCCAAACTCGGTCCATAGCCAGTAGACTTGATTTCAGAATGATCAATGGATCATTGAAGGATTGTAATGAATGGATCTTCGTAATGATCGTATCAACTGTTCTCCGATGGGACTTTGGTCCTATGTGATGGAGATACATTTCTCTCTTCCAACTAAGCCTTAAAAATCCTATGTAGGTGTAAAGAATTTTAAATAGCCTCAAATATTTCTCAGTTTCTAAATAAGTATATTCTACTAGCCAATATTGTTGACTCTCTAAATGTTATTTTTTTAATACACTGCTGTGAAGAGGGATGAAAAGGCAGTGAGTGGGTAAGAGCATGCCTTTAATTTTGCTGGCAATGGGTTCCACACTATTTCCACTTTGTAATTTAATAAAAATGCTGTATTCCCCTACTCCCCTACCTTATTTATACTGAAGAAATGTAACTGACTACAGCTTTCTGATGATGAAGGAAAGTAGTTTCAGTTCACGTTGAAATCCAGGCTTTGGTGTACTGGCTATGTGGCCTTGGACCCATGATTTAACCTCTTTGAACCTAAGAGGTTCAAAGAGTTTTGTCATCTTTAAAAAAAAGGAAATAGAATCTATACTTTAGGACTGATGTAAAGATTAGAATCACGTTTACAAATGTCAGTAAAAGACAGCTATTGTTATCATAAAGATCAAGCAAATGAAAATCACTTGTATCCATCTAGCGATAACGCAGCTAATACCTGATACTTAAAAAACATTTGGGCAAAATGTAGCTAAGCAGGTCTCTATTTTGGACTCTCTCTAGTTTTAATTTCCAGAAAAGAACTGAAGATCCCCTAAGGTCTACCGAGGAGCAGTCAGACTGCAGAAGGTGCCTGTTGGTGCGCCGGTGATAGTGAATGGTCTGTGTGCACAGGCAGAGCTCTGGCGTACCAGGTGAACACATCTGCAGCCGCTGTTCATTCTCTAGGCAGGGCCATCCGAACTTTGGGTGTTTCTAGGTCACAGTGGAAGAAGAAGAGTTGTCTTGGGCTACACATTAAATACACAAACACTAACAAAAACTGGTGAGCAAAAAAATTACAATTTTGTGTTGGGCTGCATTCATAGTCATCCTGGGCTGCGTGTGGCCTGTGGGCTGCGGGCTGGACACCCTGCAGGATGATAGGGAGTCATCAGAAACTATGTGCTGGGAATAGTCTGCCATCACTCTAATTGCTGCTGTTCAGGAAAAAGGGGTGTCTCCTTTCTCTTATCCTTCTTCTGTCATTGATCAGCCAAAGAGCTTCAGAGACAGTCCTTACTGATAGCTCAGAGGAGGAAGTGGAATTAGGGTGGGTAAAAGACTGGAGAGGGAGAGAAAAAGAAAAGGGTCTATGTGTATCATTTGAATCAATGACCCAGTTGCCTTTTATTACTTACTTAAATGATAAGAATTATACATGTTAAACTGCTTCCAAATGAAAGGGAAGACAATTGGGTTACTCAATTTAAGCAAAAAGAACAGTCAGTGGGACTATGTAAGGCATCAGACTTCAACATTAGCCCTGAAACATCCATGATGCCAAGTCCCCAAAAGAGGCAGGGTGGATCCACGGTTAAGATCACAGTAGTGGAGCCAGATTGCTGGGTCTGCAATCTGGTTTTGCCACCTAGAGCTGTGTGACCTTAAGCTAGTTACTTAACCTGTCTGGGTATCATTTGCTCCTTTGACAAAATGGAGATAATGACAATAGTCTCTTCCTCATAGAGTGTCAAGGAAATTAAATTAGGTTACACACTACTGAGTTTATAATTATACCTGGTATTGAGAAAAAAATGATTACTCCAAGATCTTTATTAATCCTTTATTCATATATAAGATTAAGTGGGGTGCAGAAGCTAGGTAGCGGAACTTCTAGGTCCTGTTTACTAACTTTCCAGTCTACACAATTCAGATTCTTGCTAGCTTTTTTTCATAATCTCATGTAATCTCCACAATCTTATGAAGTGGTAATTACCATATTTTCCTGTGTATAATGCATACTTACGTTTTTGTGTGCATTACACACAGGATTATTATATCCATTATTATACCTATGGTATGTAATCATTATACTCGTGTATAATGTGCATCCTTATTTTTCCCTCAAAAATCTGAGCAAAACGTGTGCATTATACACAGCAAAATATGTTACTTGCCCTGTTATAAAATTCCTACAATGTTCCTTCAAAGAAATCTGCTCCTATAGTCTGGATGCTGGAAATGCCCCCCGTAGCTTAGTTTGGTATGTTAATGACCCTCTGGTAGGGAGAAAAGAAATTGAACAGAATGACTCAGTTACAAGTTTTGTAGTGAAAAGCACACTTTCTTCTTAAAACTTAGGTTTTTGTGGTAACCAACTCTATTAAAAGCTAAGTAATTGGCCCACACTAGGTAGAAGTAGAAAAATAATAGTTTTAACAAACATGGATTGAAACTGTGATTAAAAAATGAGATTGCACACATGAAATCTGTCTGAATTACCTCAGTTTTAGAGAGTTGCTTGTCATTGTCCGTGTCTATCTGCTTAAATGTCTCAATACTCCGTGGTCCTTTGGTCACAGCGTAAAGTTCGATCTCAAAAATCAGTGTTGCATCAGGTGGAATCTTGCCTTCTGCTACAAGTATACATTTTAACAGTTTTAACTTACATGAAGATAATGTTCAAATATTTATTCACAAACAGCCAATAGAGCATTATGATTATATTATTTTATAGTTATAAAAATTGCATTCTAAATACTCTTTAGAGATATTTTTTCATGTCTTTAAGCTGAATCAGTTTTAAGGATTTAGGGGACCATTATTTCCTAATTAAATTAAAATAAATATAAATCATATTTTTATTAATATACCCTAGCATTGTAGAGGGGAGAGCTGGTGCAGAGAAGAAAAATTCATAGGCAGAAAAATCTCAAAGCACAAATCAGTAATATTTTAGAAAATGATTTTGTATAGTTATTTAGGAGCATTAATAAAACATATATATCAATATATTTGTCTTTCAAATTCTGTTTTTTCAATCTTCACCCAAGTACAATTTTTCATTGCTTTTTAGAGAGACAGAAAGGAAGGCAGGAGGAGAGAGGCAGAGAGAGAGAAAGAGAGGAAAACGCTGACTCAGCTGAAGCAACCCGGCTGCCTTCTCACACGTGCTCCGACCGGTGACTGACCCCTCCACCTGGATACGTGCCCTGACTGAGGAGTCAAACCCGTGACCTTTCCATCTATGTGATAATGCTCCTACCCACGGAGCCACACCAGCCAGGGGTGTCTCTCACATTCTCTGTGGGTATTAAAAAATAAATGCGATGACAGAATAAATCAGTAACAATTTTATGAAGAAATTTCTAAACACAATAAAACATGCTAAGTATTAAGTTGAATAGTTCTCCTTCATAAAGTTAACCTATTAACTGATGTCACAGATCATTTTAGTAAGCTATTGGCTATTTCGGATGATCATTTCATAAAAATAACCTGTAGAAATGATTTGTGAGGCAGTGGGTAGCTTGTGTATTCCTAGTTTCTCAGAGTGCCTGATTCTAGCTGCTCGAATATTTGTTGAGTGAATGACACCTCTGCTATCCTTTATTTTAAAAATGGCTAATTTTCTGGCTGCTGTGGCTCAGTGGACTGAGTGCTGGCCTGTGAACCAAAGGGTTACTGGTTCCATTCCCAGTCAGGGCACATGCCTGGGTTGCGGGCCAGGTCCCCAGTAGTAGCAGGCATGTGAGAGGCAACCACACATTGATGTTTCTTTCCCTCTCTTTCTCCATCTAAAAATAAATAAATAAAATCTTTTAAAGATAAAAAAATTTTAAATGGCTAATTTCATTCCTGAAGAAAATGGTAATTTCTTTAATAAAAAAGAGAAAATGCTCATGTAATCCTAAGAGAAAAGAGTTTGAAATTTAGAGCCGAAAGGAGAGATGAATCAGTCATCTCCAAAGCCAGGACACAGACAGATCTACTCATGCATCCCATTACTAATGTGACCATCCCAGCCAAAGCAGCACCTCTTTCCTGATTTTAGAGTAAAAGAGCTAAATATGAGCCAATGATCAGTTTTACAAAACCCATTCCTCTTCTGTCCACTTACGATCTTCTTATGTTGGAAAAATAACTTCAAAACAAATTCAAATTTCTTAAGAAAAAAATTACATATTAAAGTTTCTGAATAATTCTACTGTACACCTAGAAATTATTGCCAATTAGGTTTTTTCTTACAAAAAATGGTATAAAGAGAAAAATGTGCATTTGCTACAGAATTACTTGTATTTAGAGAAGGAGATCAAAGACATAGGCGTTAATGTAAAGGATCTATACATACCACATGTATTGTTAATTTAAGCACTAACAAGTCACATGCATTTTGACACATGCAGGGGTGCCCTGAGACATGAGGCAAGGGCATTGCGCAGAAAGACTCCTTCAGGTACTACCTAAAACAAAGTCATAACTAATGTTAGCTCTTCACGACAACTCATTTTCAAAAGCTTATTTGATCAAGAGGTTTTGCTAGGCACTTACCTATGGTCTACACTGCAACTTTTCACACAATCTAATCCAAGCTAGTGCAGGTAAACTAGCAGTTAATTACATTCTAAAAAACACACATTGGGCTTCAGTTTCCTAATGTGTAAAATGAAAGTGGTGGTGGTGTTACTAGTGGGATTCATTATTTTTATATTTATTGGAGACACTTAAAACTGAATATGAACCAACTCCAAGTCAAATTTCTATATCTCTGCAGCAAGGGGGTTTGGTTTATTAATAGTTTAGGCAGCTTGCATAGTCATTCACATCCAAGCATAAATTAGTCTACAAAAAGGATAAACTAGTCTTTTGCCTTAAGGTAATGGAACCCAGGATGAGCACCTTGTATTGAGGGATGTGGGTGCTCTAGGCCGACAGGGGAGTGGGAGCAGTGGTCGTAGGTGGAGTGTGGAGGCATCTGATGAGCCAGCACAAGAAAGACATTCTGAAAATGAGATGAAAGAGACTGAAAGGCAAACTTCACCTACCTGGAAATGGCTTCAACCTATCACATTTTTAGGACAAGTACTGCATTCAATTTAACTTATCTTCAATTTTTAAATCTCTCTCCTAGCTTCCTCTACAAGTAAAAACAGGATATATAAATTATAGTCAGTGGGAGCTATTTTCTTGGGACCAAATGATTGGTACAAAGCATTGACAATGAAGCTGTAGTTATCCAGAACTGTCTCCTGAGGAGTTTTAAGCCTGACTGGGTGTGACTTGCACCACTATCCTCCCTCTACTCCAGTTTGGAGCAGTGATCCCTTGCTCTTGGTGGGAACAAGAGGTGAGGGAATCACTACTGTTAATAAGTCTTTTGCTACCAAAAAGACCACAGTGAATATTCTTTTAAATATATCTTTGTGCACATTCTTGGAAATGGAACTACTGAGTCAGAGGACATTTGATAGAAATCGCTAGATAGTTCAAATGGTTTACATTCTCAGCAATAATGCATGAGTCTACTGATTTTCCATACCTTTGCCAAGTTCTTCGCCTTTGCAGATGAGCAAAGACGTCAAATGGTGTCTCACTTTTGTTTTAATATCTCTCTCTTTAATTATGAATAAAATTAAGTATTCTCACAAATTTAAAAATCATTTGTATCTTTTCTTTTTGGTTAGTGGGGCACTTTTCTAATAATCTAAGGATGATTTGTTTTATTATTTGTTATAGGAGTCTCCATACATATTGCAAACATTTTCCCTACCTAACTACTTTACCCAAGTTTTCAGATCTCACTGTAGGATTTTAAAAATAGGTAAGATATTGGAAGAAGCAGTTCAGTTCTTCTACATTTCAAGGCTTCCCCTGACTTTGGGTTCAGATGTTCTTTTTACTATTTTTCCAGTGCTATCCTTTTACTCTAAAATCCTATGTTCCAGTTTCCTGAGTTTAGTAATTTGAGTTTGGTACTGCATACCAAAGATATATACCTTTATGTTAAAAACTAATAAACATTATGCTAAAAACAAAGTTGGCAAAGGTAGAGCTTATAGAATATGGATGATCATTATGAGTGCTACCACTATGCAGGAGGAGGAACTCTGGCCAGAGAGCTATATTCCAACAATGGTTGCTTTTTCTTTTTTAATATGGAAAAATAGGGGGCCGGGCTGGACTGAATTGAATAGAGCTGAAGTTTATTGTACTCTATAGTTCTGTAATTATTTCCTATAGGATTTAAAATTTTATATTAAATTTTCTTAGAGATTAAAAAATTTTTAAGTGGGAGAAAATTTATTATTAGTATAACCATTTTAAGTGTACAGTGTTAAGTACATTCACAATGTCGTGCAACCAATCTCCAGAACTATTTCATTTTTTAATACTGAAACTCCACCCATTAAATAATAGTTCCCTATTCTGTCCTCTCCTCTCCCCACGCTCTGGCAACCACTCTTTTCTTTCTGTCTCAGTGAATTTGGCTACTCTAGGTACCTAATTAAAGTGGAATCACATTGTATTTGTTTTCACGATTAGTTTATTTCACTTAGCATAATGTACTAAAAGTTCATCCATGTTCTAGTGCATGCCAGAATTTCCATCCTTTAAAAGGCTGAATAATATTCCATTATATGTAAAATACTACATTTTGTTTCTCCATCTGTCAATGAACACTTGTGTTATTTCTACTCTTTTGGCTTTTGTGAACAGTGCTGTTATGAACATGGGTGTACAAGTATCTCTTTGAGACCCTGTTTTCAATTCTTTTAGATATATACCCAGAAGTCTATGATTTATTTGTAAATATAGCATAGAGATATAAATATTAACCTTACCATAGCCTTCCTTTCCATATGCAAATGAAGGAGGTATAACCACTTTCCGCTTCTCTCCAGGGCACATATCCATCATGGCAATGTCTAGGCCTTTTATGACTTGCCCCACACCAAGAACAAACCATTTGGGGTGGCCTTCATTTTGTGTCCGACTGTAATAACAAGCATGCTTAGGTAAGCTGACTTCAAGAAAAATGAATTCAAACTTTAAAATACAGCTCAGCATTTAATTATATTAAAATTGCAGTCCTCTCTAACCAAATCTTTTCCCAAGCTAGCATTCATTCTGAACCTCCTGGTGGGGTGTTTAGCTCAAACTTTCCTCCTAAGAGCCAGAATGAGGTATGATTTGTCCAAAGCCAGTCATCAGGAGTCAGGTCACTTTTTTTGTTATCTTTACAAGAACTATTCAACAATTAATTTTTTCATGGGTCTCCTGCCCCTACCTAGCTACATGACTTGTCCAAATAATACATTTAACAACTCTGGGTTTGTTCTAAAAAATGATGGTGCAGGTTTAGCCTCAAAAAATTATTTGAAAGGTATTTAAAATTTGTACCTTCCCATTACATTTCTCTATTTTCCTCTAAATGGAAAGAATTAACTTTCCCCCATCCTATCTTTATAGGTAATAGCACAAATGAAAAAACATTCTTCCTCTGAGTAACAAACCACTGATTAAATCAGAGTAGGTGGTCATGGCATGAGGGTTCAGGTGGGAGGATGACACAGGGTCCAGAAGTCACCAGGGAAAGTCATTGTGTCTTCCTGGTACAGTTGGAAAGTGGCCCCCAACCTGTAAATATGGTGCTTCTGAAGCCAAATAAAACCCCCTAAACTACCTTCCCTAGCCCTCTGTAATGAGGCGCCAACTATATGTAATCCTCTCTTAAGAGACTCCGACCACAGCAAAGGAAAAGTGTGAACGCTCTTATACACTGGACTTCTGGACTTCTATAGGTACCAAGGGTAGTGGTGATGGTGTGTGTCTGTGTGTGCGGGCAGTGTATTTTTGATCATTTCTCGGCCAACATTTTTAGTAATTTAGAAAGTAACATTCAGCTTAATAGGAAACTACTGTACCTAATCTGATTTTTCCTCTAGGAACACAAGGTTCAACTCTTACTGTTAAAAAATAAGAACGAACGAATGAACCAACCAACCAACCAACCAACCATTTAATTAAATTCCGCTTGCTGGAGGGAGGCTAGATTTCGCGCACCAACTAGGTGAGAGAGCTGTTCGCTGCATTTCCTACCTGCAGTAGAATTTCGAGCCGTCTTTTGCCAAGAAACCGTCATAATGAGCATTTAGCAGGTCTCCCTTCTTGCTTGTCTTAGAACAGTTTTCCGGACGATGCAAAACTTCTATTTTCACTTCCTCTGTGAACTCCTCTTTCTTTTGTCCCTGAGCAGTAAAAATGCCCCATATGTAAAGGAAGCAGATTAATCTGAGCAAGAAATGCATGATTCCTGGAGTGGGCCCCGGGTGAATACCGCGTTCCCTACCGCGTGCCACTCATTCGCGGGAGCTGCCCCGGCAGCAAAATTAGATTGACGCGTGGCAGGCATTATATTGCGACACAAAGGGCCGGGGCGGGGCGGGGCGGCGCGCGGCCCTGCCCCAGCCTCGGAGGCCCGCTCCGCCCCGGAATTTTGCAGTCTAGGGCAGGTCCTAACCCTCTGGTACCAGGTACTTTTTGGCGGGCTATCAGCAGTCGTTTAGGCAACACTGCCTAAACGCGTTTCCTAAAATTAAACTGGCAAAAGACGAAATAAAACGGCCTAGGGTGTTGGGAAATCCGAGAATATGGTTGTCACTTCTGGGTTTAAAAGAAGCCCAGATCCCTAGAGAACTAGTGGGCAAGGAAAGGTATTCTCGGGTGTCCCTGAAGCGCCTTCTCGGGGTCGGAATCATGCATTAAGAAGTTCCAGGCAAAGCCACGCGCAACCCGAAGACCTCCTGGTCGCGAGTAAACAGATGCGCGGCTCCCCACGGTCAGTTTCCCACCCGGGAGGGGACTCCAGCGATGCTGCACCGCCGCCGGTTTGCGTTGCTTTCTCCCACGACTGGAGGCCGCCCTTGATTTAAGGGCCCATAGAAGTGCAGGGGTAGAGAGGTAGGGGAAAGCTCTTCATTAGTGTCTTTTTCTTACCAACTCTGCCAGGTCCGTAATTATCTACACTACACAAAGAGAAAACGAGGCACAGTAGTCTCCCCTTATCTTTGTACCCCCTTAAACTGTGGGGAGTATGTTCCAAGACCCCCCCCCCCCCCACAGTGGATGCCTGAAAGCAGGCTAGGACTGAACCTTCTACACAGGGTCCAGCAGAAGAAATGCCTAGTTGGTAGTGTGGTTGGTAGGGTAATAAAATGGGTATAATTACTTATAGTTTTAAATTGAACATTTCACCTAAAACGTCGTGTGGTGTGCTTGAGCATGATATCACTACGTTCCAGAATTACGTGCTCATGATTTTGTAATAAAAAATGTTATAATAAAAAGGGGTGTTCTTTGTACTAGACCCTGGATTATAATACTTTTTCCTGTAATACATACCTATGACAAAACTTAATTAATTAAAAAATCACGCAAGTAAGAGATGAACAATAACTAATAATAAAACAACAATAGACTATAATAAAAGTCGTGTGAATGCGACATCTCTCAAAACCTTACTGCACTGGACCACAGCATGGATGTGCTTGGACAAAGGGACAGTTCATATTTTGGCAGGAGGGAGCAGGACAGCAGATTTCATTAGGCTATGCAGAACAGGCACCATTGAAAAACCAAGTTGTTTATTTCTGGAATTTTCCATTTAATGTTTTCAGACCATGGTTGACCTCAGATAACTGAACCACAGAAAGCAGAAACCCAACTACTGTGAAGAAAAGGAAGGACTTAGTGTCCCTTCAGTGCTGGGCATTTTGTTCCAGTGTCACAGCCCATGTGCAGCAACGGTTTGACAAGTCTGACATAAAGCCAGGCTTACCCCTCCACGTCTAAGAATGAAAATCTACTAACATACAGAAAAATGGAATTTTACTGCCCAATTACTATGGCCTTTCACCTACAACTTGGAGCCTATCGGCGTTTAACTGTTTTTGATTTAGTACATCTCCAACTATCCATCTCTGTGTTAATTCATCAATTCACCTCATTTCCAAGTGAACACCCAGAGACGTTTTATACCAGGAAGGCTTAGGCTTAAATTAGGTTCTGGAAGGGGATCAATTATTCTACCTCAGGGATCCTAAGAAAAGCCGTAACACTGAGCCTGCTGTTACTGCTTTGCTCGAAGCCTGCAAAACTCCACAAATCTTAAAATTATGGTAAATTCTGTAAGATGATGATCATTTTCTTTTTTTTTGAATTTTATTGTTATTTTTCAAGTACAGTTTTTTGTCTATTTCTCCCATCCCAGCCCCCCCTGCCCCGTCTCCCCCCCTCCCTCCCATTTCCTCCCCGCTAGTCCTCATCCCTGTGTCTTTCATACTTGTTCCTCAAAATCCCTCCCCATTTTTCCCCTTATATTCCCTTCCCTCTCCCCTCTGGTCGCTGCCCACTTGTTCTCTATTTCAGTGTCTTTTTTATTCTGTTTGCTTGTTTATTTTGTTGTTTAGCTTCCTGTTAAGATGATGATCATTTTCAAGTAAATTTTTTTTTAATCATAAAAGCTAGGGGAAAGCCCCCATTAAAAAAAAAAAATAAGCCCCAGAGTTTGGGGCTTGTTTTCCATGTTTTCTATTCTAAATGAAATCGTGGCTATCTAAGGTTAATTGTTGAGCAGACAATTCCTTGGGGCCCTGGCAACTCCAGGCCAGGGGACCCTCAGTGACACACCGCCTTCCCGGGACTTTCCGACCCCCTGAATGTCAGGATGGGAAAGAACCTAAATGGAAAGTCTTTTATTTTCTTGGAAAAACAAACAAACACCCCCCCTGCCCCCCACAAAAAACACCACCACCACCACCACCGCCAGAAGAAACCTGAGGCTCAGTTGCAGAAAATCTGAGACGCCGAAGTCACCACCCCCTAGGGTAAGCCCGGGGTCCGAGCCCGCTAGTTCCGGGCCCTGAGGCTGCGGTCTGGTCCCTGGGGGTAGGTCGGCGGGTCGGTCCGCGCCGCAGCTGCCCGGGCCGAAGGGAACGGTCCTGGCTGCCAGCCACGACCCTGAGGGAGGATGAGGAGACGCCGAGCGCCCCTGTCGGGAGTCTGAGGTTGGGATGAGTGGACGCCGGCGCGCCTTCGCGCAGCCCCTGGCCCCGCGGTGGGACCGCAGCCAGCCGCGCCCGCTCCTCCAGCCGCGCCGCCGGGGAGGGGTTTCCCGGGACTTGCCGGCCCCTTTCAACCAGGAAGTGAAAGCGACGTCGGGGTCAATGAAACAAACGGGGAGCCCAGGGGGAAGGAAGGCAGGCGAGGAGGAAGGAGTTGCCGGGGCGCGGAAGGGAGCAGCCGCGACGCGGAGACGCGAGCGGGAGGCCGCCTGCGGTTACAGTTCCGTCGCCGCCGCCGCCCAAGCTTGGCCGGGGATGTCTGAGCCCGCGCATCGCGGTCCCCGAGCTCCACGCGGCGGCCGCCGTCCGGGCCTCTAAGGGCCCGCCACGTACCCGCGGCGCGCGCGCGGGCTCAAGGGGGCTCGGGGCAGCCCGGGGAAGGGGCCCTGCGGGCCGGGAGCGGCTGTCCAGGCTCCGCGCTCGCCCCAGCACCGCGGCCGGCGTCGGGCCAGGAGGATGAGCGGCGCGGGGCTGTGAGGCATGGAGGGGGTTCTGTACAAGTGGACCAACTATCTCACTGGTATGAGGGTTCGGGCGCCCGGGGGGCAGCGGGCTGGGGGCTCGGGCGGGCTTAGCGGAGGAGGCTGCGGAGAAGGCCAGGTCAGGGGCTCTCCCTCCCACTGCCTGGCCCGTGGTGACCCCCAGCGAATTGAATCTCCTTGGTTCCCCGGCTTAATCTTTGTGCGTGTCCCTAGTAGAGCCCCTCCGGCCTCTGCAGGCGGCAGTTCCGACGGGCGCACCTTCTGGGGGGTGGGAAGTGCAGCGGACCGCTTCGTGGCCGGAGTAACAGTACTGCGTTTACTACTGTAGTTTTCTGAACAATTTTCAGGCGCTCTACATGTGCCGTTTCAATCTCTGACCTTATTTACACCTCACTCAACATTTTGTTAATAACCGAGTTGTCAGGGTCTGAGACTGGAATGGGCCCCCTAAGATCAAGATTTAATTTTAAGAAATCTTTTTCTATTGCTTCTTTTACATTTCCTTAGCAACGCGGTTTATTTTAATAGTTCTCTTGAAGTTTGAGCGTAGCGAGTATGATTTTGGAAGCTGTCCCTCGGTAATATTCTCTTAGGAGTTGGTTGTTAGCGAGGTAGCTGTATGTTTTGAAATTCAGGAAGGTGTGAGAAATATGTGGAAGAAAGTGCAATATGCTGAAGTGGAGCAGGGAAGTCAGTTTCACCCATGAAGGGGCTTGGCAGGAACTCCCCAGTTAGGCGTTTCTGTGGAAATGAGACCGGTACACAATGCCCTTTGCCATGACACTGACCACCTGACTTGTTAAGACTTTTAAATCTGAGTTCTAGACCCATCTCTGCCATCAACCAGCAGTAGCGACAAGTCGCTTGTTCTCTCAAGAGCTCAATCCAAGGCCAAAGTAGTCAACTCCCAAGGTGCCTTCCTATCATATTCTATGATCTTGCCACATTAGAGGAAAGGGAATGGGTTTTAAATAAGATTAAATAGCAAACAGACTTCTTGGTCCATTATAATAGGTAACTCGTGACTTGCTGGCCACTTTTTTACCCTGCCAAAAGTATTATACCCCTTAGTAATTGTATGGTACATTCAACTTGGGTCTGCCTGACCTTGCGCAAAATCTGCGCATAAACACTTTGAGACATAAGTTCTGAGCTACAGTTGCCTGTTTTTTTAATTAATTACATTGGTATGCCAGATTTATAGTAGCAAATGTTTTATCTTTTATGATAGATGGATGTGTTATTCACACTAAAATGTCAATTAGTTTCTATAAATATCTTTTAACAGGAAACATTTAAAAATGAGGCAAACTTTTTACTAAGCATTTTCAAATTTTTTAGTTGAGATATTGTATTAACTTTAAGACAATAGTTTCTGTGGTTTGAGATGCAAATGATCATCTCATTGCAAATGTTTATGTGTTTTGGGAGGTCTTTTGAAGAAGCCGCTTATGCATAACCCAGAGTAACAGGTAATTACTGAGATGAGTCATAACTTATTCCTGTATTGAAATGTGTGGTCTTGGTTGCTGGCTGGCTGTCTTCTCATCTTCAGTGGCACTGAGCACCAGCCGATTGAACTTTTAACCACATGTGCTTAAGGTTTTAGTCATTGCAGAGCATTTAAGTTAACTGCTAGTATGCAGTTGTAGAAGCTTGATGAAATTAAGTCTTTTGATTGGAAGAGTTCCATTTTTAAAATTTAAATTTGGCTCAGTGGCATGCTGATTATTAATTTTAGTTCATCTGAGGTCAGAAAGCTGAGCAGCTGTTTATACTAAGTGATCTTTAAGGAACCTTCCAGTTCAATCACAGTGTTCTTTGAGAATCCTTTGTAGAGAATAAGGATTTTAGTAACATTTGGTAGTTAGAGATAAAAAGAATGTGGTGTTTTTTTGTTTTTTGTTTTTATTTATCTTTAGAGGGGAAGGGAAGGAGAGAGGGAAACATCAATGTATGGTTGCCTTTCATGTGACCCCTGCTGGGAACTGGCCTGCAGGGAACCGGCCTGCAACCCAGGCATGTGCCCTGATTGGGAATTGAACCGAGATTGTCTGGTTCACAGGCCCACGCTAAATCCACTGAGCTACACCAGCCAGGGCAGAATGTGTTTTTAAAAAAAAAAAAATTAAAAGAGGGAATACCTATGAGTCTTTTTTTTTTTTTACAGATATAGCCCTCCATTTCATGAATGTGTGAATCAATTAGAGATTGTTTTATTAAGTATTTCTTCAAAAAGGTGTGAAGAGATAATGAACAGTCTTAGAGTAATTAACTGTGGTAATCTTTCAAGTTGCTATAAATTCTAAATGAGTCATTTTTCTCAATATTTGTTTTAAAGACATACTGAATTACAACATTGCAAGCTTACAAAATCACACTGGGCCTGGGGTGGAGGAGTGTATTTTCACACACTCTGCTTACAGTTTGTTTGCCGAGGTGACTTAGTGTTTGGGAAGATAATGTCTTCATCATTTCTATGCATGCTCAATACAACATACTCTCATGCATATACTGCATATCTATAGTCTTATGGAAACATGTAATATCTCACTTTTCTGGTATTTAATCTTTCATTCAATCAATCACTTGAGAAATGTACTTTTTTTGGTACCTGTATGTGCCAGGCACCATTCTAACTGCTAGGAATGCAACAATGAATAAGTTAAAGTTCATGGACCAAAAGAACTTACCTTCTAAGAGTTCCATTTTTAAGAGGCCTCATTAGGGAATGTAGTATTTAATAAAAAGAATTTTCCAAGCATTGGAAACTTTTTTGGGATATTCATTTCTCCAAACTGTATTATGACATTCCCTGCTGTGAATTTAAATCTTTTTATGGTGACTCAGCAGTGCCATTTTAAAAATGATACAGGTAAAGGCTTTTGAGTAGGTAAATCCTGGGTCTGCATTAGGATGTAAGAATGATTTCCCCCATTTGTCACTGTCTTGGCACTATTTCGCCCTGGAAAAATGGAATTGTGTCATCATGTAGCAGGCTATGTCTAAAATGAGCAGACTGAATTGTGATTTAATAGTCCCAGAAAGAACAGGGACAGTCACACTCCCTTCAGCATGGTCACCATGTTATTAATCAGCGAACTGTAGTAAATTAGTAGCATGCTCAGTAAGATTTCAGGGAACACTGAGTTTGGCTTGCCAAGAGTGGGAGCTGAGCTCTGAGAAGAGCCATCATCCTCATCCCCAGCTTTGCCTTGGAGCCAAGTTTGTGATAGTTGTATGCTCTAGTCACAGAACAAATACTAATTAAATGAGTGGTTGCAGTTTCTAGCATTTCTGCTAGTGCCTTGCAGCAGCAGAGCAAGGAGAAGGGGGTGGTGGGGATCCATGCTCTCACCACAGGGCATGCATCTTCTGGTTAAGAGACTGGAAGTTATCTAGCAGCACTCACTGTGTGCAAAGGAGTTTGCTTAGGAAACATTTGAGAGGGAAGGTCACATTGTAGAATTAGAGAACTAGGTGGCACCTAACGGGTCCTCTTATTCAATTCATTCATTTTAGAGTTGACATTTTGTAATTATTGAAATGAAAAGATTTGTCTCTGGTTATCCAATTAAAGAATGGTAGTAGAGCCAGGGCTAGCATTCAGGTCTTCTTTTGCTTTTTCCATTATATCATAACCCAAACTCTGCTCCTTTTTAGAAAAGGTTATATTGTACCCTGTGTAGGGTACAGCAAGTTATATTGCACCCTGTGTAGGGCTGCTTTTTGAGGACAGGTCTTACTGGTTGTTAGTGAGAAGGTTGTGAGCCAGAATAAAGGTGTTACTCCTCATATTTATGCTGATTTAGAGATTTCCTCAGAAATCTTTCTCAACAAAGAGGAGATTGGTGCCAAAACAGTGTGGGCAAGGTTTGTCAATTAAAAAATTGATTGTCAGCATGTTACTTTAGAGCAAAGAAATAACATGGATGGTAAGTTTTGAAATCATCGTTTTCTATGTGATGAAAGTAATTTCTTACTTATGTTTTTGCAGGTTGGCAGCCTCGTTGGTTTGTTTTAGATAATGGAATCCTGTCCTACTATGATTCACAAGATGATGTTTGCAAAGGGAGCAAAGGAAGTATAAAGATGGCAGTTTGTGAAATTAAAGGTAAGTAATTAGTGGACTGTGAAGTTATATAAAGGTAAGTAAAGGGTTCTGCAGCATACTCCAAGACCAGGAAAAAAGCATTTTTAACCAAGTAGGGATTTATTTTTTTATAATCCTCACCCAAGGATTTGCTTATTGATTTGAGAGAGAGAGAGAGAGAGAGAGAGAGAGAGAGGTTAATGTGAGAGGGAAGCATCGACTGGTTGCCCCCTGCTGTGGTCCCTGACTGAGGATTGAACCTGCATCCTGAGTAATGTGCGCTGACTTGGAATCAAATCCACAACCTTTTTGCTGTACAGGATGATGTTACAATTAACTGAGCCACCTGGCCAGGGCCAAGTAGGGATCTTTTACACGTTGTCTCTTTTTTTAAATAGATTTTATTTATTTATCTTTAGAGGGGAAGAAAAGGAGAGAGGGAGAGAAATATCAGTATATGGTTGTGTCTCATGTGTCCCCTTCCAGGAACTGGCCTGCAACCCAGGCATGTGCCCTGACTGGGAATTGAACCGTGATACTTTGGTTCACAGGCCCACACTGACCAGGGCCCAAATAGGGATCTTTTAATACCATTTATTTCCTTACCATCCAGGAGTGGCACTTAGCATTGTTAAGTACAATGTTTGATGTTTCTCTCTATAAACATACTTTGAATTGAATTTCAAAGTACTAATGCATGTGTTCCAGTTTGGACTTGAAAAACAATTTCTTTTAAAATTTTTTAAAATTTATTTTTAGAGGGGAAGGGAGGGAGACAGTGAGAGAGAGAGAGAGGGAAACATCAATGTGTGGTTGCCTTCATGTGCCCCCTACTGGGGACCTGGCCTGCAACCCAGGCATGTGCCCTAACTGGGCATTGAACTGGTGACCCTTTGATTCACAGGCTGGCACTCAGTCCACTGAGCCACACCAGCCAGGGCCGAAAAACAGTTATTTGCGGATTCCACTCACGTATCCATGCTGAGTCCACAAGTGTTGACTTTCTCATCCTCGTAGAAAGGAATTACAAAAATTGGAAGCTGAACTATAAAGAAGCTCTGTAGATTTTTGGTTAAGTATGAAGTCAGAATCATACACTGGTTCTTTGCTGAATAAGAGAGTAGCTGTTCTGGGTAGGTAGTAGAGATGCTTTTCTTTCTTCCTTTTTTTTTATCCTCACCTGAGCATATTTTTTCATTGCTTTTGGAGAGAAGGGAAGGGGAAGAGAGACAGAAAGACATGGATGTGAGAGCGACATTGACTGGCTGCCTGTTTGCATGTGCCCTGACCAGGGTAGATGTTCCAGCAGGGGATCAGACCTGCGGGACTCCAGCCAGCACTGGCCAGGGCAGCTTTGCTTTCTTTTTGGTGATCTTCAGAGTTTTGACAAATATTCAAAGAATATTCTAGAAAAGCTCCTCTATTGGAATTTGTGTGATGTTTTCCCCATGAGTAGACTGGAGTTATGGATTTAAAGGGAGAACACCACGGAGGTAAAGTGCCATTCTCATCACGTCATAACAAGAGTCTGTACCATCGACATGACGTAGCACTCTTAACTAACCCTGACTCCGTGGCTGAGGCAGTTTGTCAGGTTTCTCTACTGTAAACGTACCCTCCCACCTCCCGTTCCATACAGTGTTCTTCCAAAATGGGAGAAATAAAGCAATACATCATGATGTACTTTTCATGAAGGAAGGTTTCATGGACCACTGATTTATTTGTATGTGTGGTTGGGGTGTGTAGGATGGAGGCAGGTAGGAAAGGTCAGGCAAAATGATAATGAAAAGTGCTGAATTCTTCAAAGGGAATTGAAGGAAAAAAATTAGAATTCTAGAAGAGTGAGTGTTAAACCCCTATAGGGAGCCTTGGCTTGATAAGATACAGAAATATTTCAGCCTGGTGTATTGTTGCTTGCATGTCCCCTGAAATATATGGGATTAATTTTGTTGCTTTATTTTTTAAAATCTCACAAGAGAAGCACATTCAAAGCATGAGTTTTTTATGTTTTTAAAAAGTGATCGTTTTATCTCATTCCCCAGATTTAATTCCAAGTGAGATTTGATGACTCAGAAATCATACTACATTCAAAGTTCAAATATTTGCCAACCTTGAGTATTTCAAAAGACTGTTAAGTAGCAGAATTCTAAGAAAACTCCAAAGTGTTTTTAAGCTACAGTAGCATTTTTGTTGTTTTCTGTTTACTCATTTTATTGAAGAATAATATACTCGTAATAAAAGGGAACAAATCTTAAATATTCAGTTTGAAGAATGTTTACAAGTGAACTCGCTTGTGTATCCACCATCCAGATCAAGAATTAGAATACTGTCAGCATCTCAGATGCTGGGATATTTTTATCACATCCGCTTAGCCACTAATCCTGATAAAAGATAACCATTAATCTAACTTTCATTACCAGAGATAAGTATTGTTTAGTGTTGAACATTTTATAAATGGAGTAAATATTTTCTTCTAGTCTGTCTTCTTTCACTCAACAGTTTGTGAAATTGACCCATGCTGTTCTGTATAACAGTAGTTGGGCCATTTTTATTGAGATGTATTTCCACTGTGTCAACATCCCACAGTTTGATTAGCCATTCTAGTGTTGATGGATGTTTGAATTTTTCCCCCGTTTTAGGACTATTATAAACAAGGCTGCCGTTAACGTAATATATTTCTTCTATTGAACATATATACGCATTTTTGTTCAGTATATACCTAGAACTGGCATGGAATTGCTAAATCAACTTTTAACAGATATTGAAAAAATACTCTTTATACTTGTTAAAACAGTAAGAGAGACTTGTTCAGGTCTACTGTAACAGGTATAGAGACTACAACAGTGGGGTTTTGCAGGGGGTGAGAGAGATTGGGCTCAACTGTAAATACTGAACACAGGAAAAATAGGAATTTATAGGGCAGAATGGGGGATAGGTAGATGGAAAATTGCTAATCGGAAACTTCAGGGATACAGGAGGATTCGGACCAAACTGACCTAACAGGATTCTTGTGAAAGGCAGGCCAGAGTGGTCAGATATTATCTGTGGGGTAGCAGGAAAAAGGATTTTGGTCAGATATCCAGGAAGATTAGGTATAGATAGTAGTGGATTCTGGCTAGACTGACTTGGCAGGATTCCTGCTAAAATTGGACTCTACAAAGACAGAGAGGGAAGCCCAAGTCCTAGTGAAGCAGAGGGTCTGGAGGAGCCAGACAGAAGTGTGATCAAAGAGAGAATCTTTGTCACAGTGCCAAACCATCTGCCAAAGTGGTTGTACCGATTTGCTTTCCAACTACCAGAGTATGAGAGTTCCTGCTGCTTTGCATCCTTCATAAAACTTGATATTAGCTAAGATTTTGAATATTTTTAGTGTATAGTATTTTCTTACAGTGGTTTGACTTGCATTTATTCATTAAATGATGTTGAGTACTTTTTCAGGTATAAGTAGCTGTTTGAACTTTCTCTTTTTAAGTCCCTTTTCAATTCTTTGGCCCAATTTCTAAATTGGGCTGTCTTTCACCTTGATTTGTAGGAGTTCTTTATGTAGTCCAAATGACCTTTTGTATTGGGAAGGTATTCTCCAGCTCTGTCCTTTGCATTTTCATTGTGTTAATGGTATCTTTTGATGGACACAAGTTTTTAATTTCATTAAAACCCAGTTTGTCAACTCTTTAATGAGAACTTTTTATGTCCCACTTAAGAAATCTTCTGTTACCTTCTTGAAAGTTTATTGTTTTAGCTTCTGTATTTAAGTTTTATTTTGGTCTGTGATTTGCTTAAAATTTATTTTTATATATGATCTCAAGTAGAGGGTCAAGATGCTCCCCCCGCCACGTATGGAATCCAGTTGACTGAGTACCACTTATTAAAAAGACCAGCCTTTCACCCACTGCATTGTAGAGACATCTTTCTCACAAAGTGAGTGACTGTGTACTTGTGGTTTTTTCCTAGACTTTTGTTCCATGGGCCTGTTTTTCTATCTTTGTGCAAATATCACACTTTCTTAATTTCTTTAGCTTAATACTTCCTAGTATTGGATAATCGAAATCATCTTAGTTCTCTTTTAGCATTGTCTTATCTATTATTGGCTCTTTGCATTTCCTTAGACGTTTTAGAATCTGCTTCTAAATATCCACAAATACTTGTTGGAATTTTGATTGGAATTGTATTGATCTGTACATCAGTATAGAAAGGACTGTATTCTTGACAGCATTGAGTCTTCTGATCCATTAGCGTGGTATAGTCCTATATTTAATTAGGGTTTTAATTTGTCTCAGTAATGTGTCATAGTTTTATATAGAGAGATTTTGTCCATTTTTCAAAGAAGTTGGAGGTTTGGAAGCATCGTTGTTAAGTTTGTGGCCTTCTCAGGTGAGTACTTGGGAGGGTACAACCCTTGACTGATAACATAAATTCTGGTATGTTTAAAAATGAGTCATCTTACTTTAGTTTCATTCTATAGAAACATGATTGGAAATTAGAGCCTTGTTTTCTCTTACAGTAGCTCTTGGTGCTTTCCCTAGTATTAGCACATAGCAAAAAAGAGTTACTCGTGGAGCTCTGGGATTTTGGTGATTTTAGCCTAGTCTGGAAATCTTTTGCACCCATCATTGACCCTTTCTCCATTCATGACTATCATTATTTGTAATACAACACAATGCTCCACTCAGACCTGTCTCCTGATAGTCTCTGTACATATATTTATTTCCTCATCTAGAACTTTTCTCATGCAGTTTTCCTGTTTCAATTTTAAGCAGATCCTGCTTTCAAAAATCCCTCTTCTCGAAGCCTTTTTTAATTTCTTTCTCTTCTTACCATTCTCAGTATAATTACACATGAAATCTCTGTACCAGAGAGTTCAACATTCAGGTGTTTCCTTGGTTAAATTGTCACCTCTACTAGACCAGAGACTTCTTTTTTCTCCTGCTCTAGCATCCCCTGTGCCCTCATTGTTCTGAGGTGAGTGGTGATTAATGACAGTGTAACACATTGAGTCTTAAAACCAAGATTTAGAATTGGCTCAGCATGATTCTTGATCTGCTCTCTATTGTTTAGTATCAAAGGGGGGTATAGAAGAGGAGGAGGTGAGGATGGAAGGGAAAAGAAGGTCTCCAAAATATTCGAGCTTTCCAGGTGATTATGATATGCCCATTAGTTGAAAACTTTTGTTCTAATGGAAGGTGGTTATAGTCCTCTTATTGTGCTTCATCTATATGCCAGGCACTGTCCCAGGCTGGGGGAATACCAAAGCAGTGTGTGGTACCTCTATCAGAGAAATCAGTAAAAATTGTGTCATAAGTAGAATAATGCATATGTATTTAAGGTGGTACAGCTGGCCCCAAGGGAGGGAGTTCTTAGTTCTCACTTCTCGGTAGTCGTTGGTGTTTTCTCTTTCCTGTGGCAGTGCCGCCAGCTGGGGCAGATGTGAGAAGGGTGGTTTGGAGAGTGCCACTAGGTAACCCCTTCCTTCGGTGTCTGAAATCGCTCATTCTGAGTAAGAGTGGTGATTTCATTGTCCCCAACTTACTTAAGTCCATGACTGTATTTCCCTTTTGTTTATCATCCTAGTCCACTCGGCAGACAACACACGGATGGAATTAATCATTCCCGGAGAGCAGCATTTCTACATGAAGGCGGTGAATGCAGCTGAAAGGCAGAGGTGGCTGGTTGCTCTGGGGAGCTCCAAAGCCTGTTTGACTGATACTAGGACTAAAAAAGAGAAAGGTAATTTTCTCTGCAGTGGGAATATTTTCTTACGTAAATATAAATTGTCATGTTCACTTATAGTAATTTATCCCAAAGAAATGATCAGAAATGTAAATTTATTTACATAGATATTTATCATAGTAAAAAAATTGTAAACAGTACAAAGGTTTGAATTTCAGGGGGATGGATCAGTAAATTGTATAGTGCTTCCATAGGCTGATAGGTTATTACACGTGCAGTAAAATGTTCACAAGGAATTTCAATGAGGTGAGGAAATGCCCAAGATTAAACGACAATTGAAAAAAACAGGATTCAAAATTATATATCCATTCATTGGACAGCTCAGCAAAGACATGCAAGAATTGGCCAGGTTGTTACCTTTGGAAAGGGAATTTGTGGGAGGGAGACTCACTTTTCACTGTGTACATTTTGACTTTATCATATATATATATATATATATATATATATATATACAATTTAAAAGGACTAAGTAAAAATCAAAAGCAAAGCAAATAATTTGTGGTATTCAATTATATGCATATATAATGTGAAAATAACAATAGTATTTATATCTTGGTAGTGAGATTGTAATTGGTAAATTTTTCTTTTGTACTGTTTTAATTTTCAAAAAATTTTCTTATATTTCATAATTAACAACACTATAAGTCATTTAAATTATATTATTTTCATTATGTTTATAATTAAAATTGACCTTATATTATTTTTACAATTAAAAACAGTAGAAGTCATTTAAATTAGTGAAAGCAACTAAATTATGGATATTAAGAAAGGAAGGCTAAGGATCGAACTTGTAACAGTTTTCAGATGTATGAAATGAGTATCATGGGAATAGCATGGCTAAGGGTAGGGTAAGAAGGAATGAATACTCACAGTAGCCAAGAGGTGGAAACAACCCAAATGTCCATAGACATAGATGCGTGGATAAACATAGTATGGTATGTACATACAATGGGATATTATTCAGCCTTAAAAAGGAAGGAAATTGACACATACTATCATATGGATGAATCTTGAAGATACCATGCTAAGTGAATAAACCAGTCATGAATGGACAAGTATTGCGCTTTGTGTGGGACGCCTAGAGGAGTCAGATGTATAGAAACCGAAAGTAGAATGGCTGTTTCCAAGTGCTAGGTAAGGGGAGAATGGGGAGTTACACAGTGTTTAATGTGTACAGAATTTCATTTGGAGAAGATGGAAAAGTTCAGGAGATGGATGGGAATAATGGTCGTATGACAACGTTGAGTGTAGTTAATGCCAGCAAACTGTATATTTAAAAATGGTTAATAATTGTATGTTTTACTACAATTAAAAAGAAGGAGTGGGCTGAAATAGGGTAGAAGGTCAGGTTAAAAGGGCACATAGAGCTGCTTTGGCCCACCGTGGCTGGAGTGGCTGTTTGGCCAGTACAACAAAACAGTGCCACTCTCTCAGGGATGGCAAAACACCAGGACCTGTGGGTGTCTTCTTTTTCCTTTGCTGCTTATACTGGTAGTTTAGAAAGTATTGGTATATGAGTGGCTGAGATTATGGCTGGATATTTAGTCTGTCCAGAGATATTAAACAAAATGAGGTAAACTCTTAATTAAAAAATATTGAAAATAATATAATGTAAAAATGAAGCTATGAAAGGAAAAGAAGGTAATAAATGGATGTTTATGTACAATAGTTTTTTTTATTCTTTTTTAAAAAGATTTTATTTATTTATCTCAAGAGGGGAAGGGAAGGAGAGCGGGAGAGAAATATCAACATATGGTTGCTTCTTGTGCATCCCCTGCTGGGAACTGGTCTGCAACCCAGGCATGTGCCCCGACTGGGAATCAAACTGTGATCCTTTGGTTCACAGGCCCGCGCTCAATCCACTGAGCTACACCAGCCAGGGCTGTACAATAGTTTTAATTACATAAAAATTAAAAACTTTTGTATGCCAAAATATACAATAAAGAAAACAGAGTGATAGATCTTGGAATGTATTTGCAGTATATAGGACAAGTGAAAGATTGCTAAATTTCATGTGTAAGACATTTTTTAAATTATGAATTTGTATATTACTAAGAGAACTCAGACATCAGAATGGGAAGAATGAGTTAAGGACAAGAAAAGCCAATTAACAAAATAAGAAAAGTAAGCACTTTTCCAATGAAAGATGAGTGATGGAATGGAAATATCTTGTATGAGACATTCTGTAGTCATCACCCCATCTCTAAAAATTAATCTACTTAAACCTCATGATTGACACATGACTGCCGATTTTTTCCCATTTATCTGAAGAGAATGTGGTTTTCTCCGAGCCTTTGTGTCCTGTTTCTAAGGTCTGTCACTATAGATATTATTTGTAGTTTTAATTAAAAAAATTTTTTTATCCTGCTTAAGACAAGGAGGGGGAGAAAGATGTGCTTTGAGGGACAGAGGAGGGTGGGGAGGCTCACCATCCTGGGAAAAGCAAGAGAGAGCCCACTGGGGAACAGAGGGGCTAGGGAAGGGGTCAGCACGCTCCACAGAGAGAGCCGCCGTCTTTTTTAATGATTGCATTTTGTTGTTTTGCCCCCAGGTAGGAAGCCTATCTAATTGAATGTTCATATATGTTCTTTTCAGAAATAAGTGAAACCAGTGAATCCCTGAAAACCAAAATGTCTGAACTTCGCCTCTACTGTGACCTTTTAATGCAGCAAGTTCATACGATTCAAGAATTTGTTCACCATGACGAGAATCATTCATCTCCCAGCATAGAGGTATAACAAAGATGATCCTCTCATGTCTGATTATGCTTTTCAGTACAACTGATGAGTGAGGTTCTTCCCATAAGATGACAGGGAAGCATTTTCAGAATGAGTTATTTTCAGCTATTTTGAGCTCTCCCTACAATGGGTTGTCTGGAAATCTGTAGAATCATCTAGATTGTGTCTGTGCAGGCAGAGTAAAGCAGGAAGCAGCACGTTTCTTCAGAGAATCAAAGCCTATCTTTGCAGGCAATCAGTAACTGGATGGTTTGAGTGGGGAAGAAGCATTCCAGGATTCCAAGCATTCCATTCAGGCTGACTACTTGAAATCATTGGACAATTGGTATTCTTTTTCATTTGTAATAATGTCGTAACATAACTACTGAGAGTTGATAACTTAGCTTTATGATATAACTTTAAAAAAGTTCTCACAACAGTGATGTAGGAATCAAAACTCAGGCTATGAATTAGGCTTATTCTTTCTGATAAAGTAGGACCAGTGAGCCCTGTTACTCTCTGGCTCCATGGCCAGCATTTACCTTAAATAAATCTAACCTTTTAGATTTATTTATTTAAGATTTATTTAAAGATAAATTTCTTTATTTATTAGATTAGATTAGGTTAGATTTATTTAAGATAATTTCTCGTCCCCTTTTGCCTAACTTGGGAGAAATGAGATAAGAAATTTTCCTACCTCTCTTGTTACCTTTTGCTGTTGGGGAGGAATCTTGTGTGAGGTAGGTCGCATTTGGTTGTAGGTACGTTAAACCCTATGGCCACGTATTACGTCACCACAAGTGTTCTGGAGGTGTGCTCTCACATCTGCTCCAGCAGCTCAGGGACAGTATCAGGGACCCAGGCATGTCCCATCTTTCTGCTTTGCCGACCTTTCTATCTTGGGTTTTTCTCTTAAGGCCCAAGGTTTAAGGTTACTGCCAAGGCTACATAGAGGCAAGAGGCAGTCGGGTAGCCTGGGTAGAGAGAAACCCAGGGGGCAAGAAATTCCAGAAACTTCCCAGCAGACTTCTCATCATCTTCTCTGCTTGGGTCAGTGGAAACTAAGAAAAATGAGTGTTTGCCAAAGGGTCATAGAATAGCTATGACTGGCTTAACCCAGTCTGTATTTATCCCCCAAGGTCAGGGCACTTTGCTGTCCTAAAAAATTTAGTGGTTTTTATTCCACCAAAGAAGAAATGGGAGAGTAGACCTGGGGTAGACCTGAATCGTGCCTGCTGCTAAGTAACTTTCCAGGTGTTCCACTACTGTGATCACCTTCAGAATTCAGACAGCTGTAAAGTTGCTGTTTAGGTTAGATTTATTTAAGATAAATTCTATACACAGTTTTTCAGTATGATATTTTGTTTGAATGTAAAACTTACTTTTTTCTTAGAATCTCATTTCTTACACTGTTTACCTGAGAGACAGACAGTTATTATTCAAGCGTTGCTTTAATTCTAATGTATTGTATTTGAAATATGTTTGAATGTAACCTAGTCAGGTGTCCTACTCATTGCTTTTTTGTGAGGTAGCGCACGATTCCACGTAGTTGTGTGTAAGTTTGTTCAACTCTGTAATTTTTCAGAACATGAATGAAGCCTCTTCTCTACTTAGTGCCACATGTAATACGTTCATCACAACGCTCGAGGAATGTGTGAAGATCGCAAACGCCAAGTTTAAACCTGAGATGTTTCAGCTATCCCATCCGGATCCCTTAGTTTCTCCTGTGTCACCTTCTCCTGTTCAAATGGTTGGAACTTACTGTTTTTCTTCTAGTAGTATTGCATGTTTCTGTTTTTAAGAGTGGAATCTGGCAGTGGGAGGGAAATAGTCAACAGGCTGGATTTTTAAAAATTGTATTCATATTCTCTAGTGGACCCTCTCATTTGGTGGGTTCAGCATGTGCCAAAGTCATGATCCTCTTCCCTTGGAGGAGCTGTGCCATTTGCCCCAGTGTGCCAGGAAAATATCATAATGTTCTCTGGGTTCTATGATGTGACACAAGGTTGGGGAGAACTGTTCTATTTGGTAAAAACATGTCATAGGGATAAAATGAAGCAAATCTTTAAAGAAGTTGTAAGGAATCTGAAGCAGCATGTTACAGGGGAAACAATGTTTTGTAGTCTGCATTTGGACCCTCTGAGTAGGCAAGTTTCTTAATCTCTCCGGACCTCGAGTGTCTGTAAAATCAGTGTCTTCTTCATCCGAGTCTCATTGCAAAAGATCTGCCCTGTTTATGTGAGGTGCTAACTGTTGAGAGGGGCAGAAGATTTGTTGTCCTTTTCAAGCTGGTAAACTTGATCCAGCATGCTGTGGGGAACTCTCAGGTGAGATAAGGTTTGATGAGACTTTACATTTTTTCTCATGAAACTGTTTTCAGGAGCCCTTTTGTAGAAGGAAGAATGTCACCTGGCTACTATTCTAGCAATTACCTGAAGACTTATTAGGGTACAACTTACTCCTAGTCTCTGTTATCCACCGCAGCAAACTCAGTTATAATAGATTTAGTAAAGATGATTATCTAAATTTATTTGCATCACTAGTTTTTAATCAGTGTATGAGGGACTAATAGCATCTTCTGAGGTAGGTGTACTATGAAAATGAGCTTTATGACCAGATCAGCTTGGGAAGTGCTAGGTTAACTTAAACAAATTGGGTTTCTCTGTCATCTCTGCCATACCTTTTGTGCTAACATATATTATGAATCTCTGAGAAGGAGAAATAGTACTGAAATTTATTTGACAGTTAAACCCTTCTGTTAGTGTTGAGTAGAATACAGTTTGATAGTGTTGCTTTCAAAACAATTGTAGGGATACTGTGAAATGTTAAGTAACACATATAGCTGAACAAAAAATCTTTTGAGATGGGTATTTGGTGCTGTGTTCCTGAGATTGATGTATAAGGGATACACTTTTTTTTTTAACTTAAGGGGTACTTTATAGAGTCAGATACAATAAAAATACCTCAAACCTGCCTTGTTCTTGCTTTGAACTTCTAAGGAAAATGCCTTCTGTTATAAATGCTCTATAGTCCAGAGAGGTCATATATGTACTAATGTATAAGAAACTCTAATAATTGTCTCTTTTAAACCAAAACCTTCTATCAATAAAACATTATGGAAATCCAGTTAGAGGCCACTGCTCACGTTTCCTTGCTGTGCCATTTTTCTTCTCTCCTAAAGTACAGATTGTGGCTTATGTAATTTGTTCTAGAGACATAGTACAGGGAAGGAAAGTCAGGTCAGACAGTATTAATAGGAAAATCCTTTAAAAAAACAAGTAGGTGAAAAATAAAGTTGAAATATTGGAGAATTCCAAAATCAACATGATAGTTATAACCATTTTATATAGTTATTTTTATTGTATCTCTTGAAATTAACTTGCATTTAATAGTATTTCAAACCATCCTGGCAGTTCAAACAGTGGTCATTTTGATCCACAGATTGAGTGATAATTGTATTGGGGATGTCAAGGGAGTAATTCTAAAAGAAGTGATATCTGTTCAAGGAGATATTAATGTCCAGTGGCATCTTAGTGTCATTTATATTAGATGTCACTGGACTGCAAAGTGGATGGGTCATAACTCTTATCATTTCAACTGGGATTTCTTAGAGCAACTGGTGGCTCATGTCACACATGTAGAAAGCATTTATTTACGTGAGACAAAGGTTAGACTTGGATTGGACTGGAAGACTCTTGGGCCCTGCATATAAAAGCAACCCTCCTTAGCCTTTAGTATAATAAGCTTTGTTCTCTTGCTACCTTGTGAAACATTGAAATAATCTGTTTTATTTTGCTGCCTCTTTCCATGTTTTTTAGTGGATTAGCTGAATCTTCTAAATTATGCTTAGTATTTGTCATATTTATTAATGCTCTGCTAGTAAATTTTATATTTGTATTTTAAATAAGTGGTTTTAGAAACCTATCTGAACCTTAGGGTTCTTCTTCCAAATTCTTTTTTTTTTTTAAGTTTGTGGGTTTACTTTTCTTTTATTTTTTTAAAGATATTATTCATTTATTTACTTTTAGAGAGGAAGGGAAGGAGAGGAGAGAAATATCAATGTATGGTTGCCTCTCATGAGTCCCCTGCTGGGAACTGGCCTGCAACCGAGGCATGTGCCCTGACTGGGAATCGAACTGCGATTATGTGGTTCACAGGCCCGCGCTCAATCCACTGAGCTACCAAATTCTTTAAAGACTTGAATTATTAATGCCATCTTCCATGAAAAACACACTTTAGAACATCTGTGGAACAACTTCCTGAATAATGAATGGTAAAGAGAAGCTTTGCTCCTAGACTGTATTCCTGCTCTTTAAAAAATGTAGTGAGAGGGATTTATTAGAATATTTTCTGGCTTACTATATACACCTTTTTGTCAAAAATATTGTGATTTGGGGAACTAGTTAAGTATACTGTTTTTTATATTTATGTACACACACAGACACACATGATATAAAATATGATGTCTGGTTTTTAGTAATGAGAAAAGAATATGGCATGTTTTTGGTATGTGGTAAGAAAGATTCCCATTAATGGTTATTAGGGAGAAAGCTTGACATTGTGCGAATAATGTTACTTGAGCATGTAAAAAAATTTTTTTTGTTTTGGCCAGCTACCTATTTTTCTGAATAAAGGTAATACATTAGAGCTGCTTTATTCTACTCGAATAATGGATTATGCTTCTTTCTTTAAATTTTCAGATGAAGCGTTCTGTCAGTCACCCTGGTTCTTGCAGTTCAGAGAGGTAAAGCTATCTTTTCTTTGGACCACGTCTTCTTAAAATTATACCTACTTAGGGAAATTCTTTGGGCCAATATCATAAGGGGGTATGGAATATAAATTCTGTATGGGCAGTCTGATTCTGATTTGCTCAGCATTTTTATATCTTAGTGCTTAGTATAGGGCCTGGCCCCAGTTGGTAGTCAGTAACAGAAAAAAAGAGAGAATAAATTAACCAGCAAGCTAAGCACCTGGCCAGCTATTGTACCTTTTTTAGATGTTTGAAATGATATCAAACTGTAGTTTATAGAAATCCATATTTGACATACCAAGGCTCCAGAGCTTAGGCTCGCTAATTTTACTACAGCTTTTTATACCATTATATGTTTATGCTGAGCTATTGTATAATTAGAAGCTAAAGATCATACCGAGAAGACAGAAAAACCAGTTAATTTTTTTTTATTTTTCTTTTTTAAATTTAATTTTTAAATTTTATTGTTCAGTTACAGTGTCCCCATTTCCCCCGTTGCTCTCCCCTGTCCAACACCTGCTCCCAAAGACAGTCCCCTCCCCATTGTCCTTGTCCACGGGTCCTTTGTACATTTCCTGCATTATCCCATTCTCCCCTCCACTCTGGTCCCTGTCAGTTTGTTCTTTATTTCCATGTCTCTGGTTCTTTTTTGCTCATTTGTTTGTTTTGTTGATTAGTTTCCACTTATAGGTGAGATCTTATGGTATTTGTCTTTCACTGCCTGGCTTATTTCACTTAGCATAATACTGTCCGGTTTCATCCGTGCTGTCGTGAAGGGTAGGAGTTCCTTCTTTCTTTCTGCTGTGTAGTATTCCATTGTGTAAATATACCACAGGTTTTTGATCCACTCATTTATTGATGGGCACTTAAGCTGTTTCCAGCATATGGCTCTTGTAAATTGTGCTGCTATGAACACTGGGGTGCATAGGTTCTTTTGGATTCATGTTTCAGGGTTCTTAGGGTATAATCCCAGTAGTGGAATTTCTGGATCAAAAGGCAGTTCCTTTTTTAGTTTTTTGAGAAAATTCCCCACTGTTTTCCACAGTGGCTGTACCAGCCTGCATTCCCACCAATAGTATACTAGGGTTCCCTTTCTCAATAACCTGGCCAGTACTTGTTTGTTGATTTGGTTATGATGGCCATTCTGACCAGTGTGAAGTGGTATCTCATTGTAAAACCAGTTTGTATTTTAAAGTATATATTCATATCAACACATTGAAAAAATTTACCTTCTAAACATATCTTGCCAGTATCCCGGGCTATTAGAGTATTCTTTTTTTCCCCAAATATTCTGTTTATTTATTTTTAGAGAGAGGGAGAAGGAGGGAGAAAGAGAGGGAGAGAAACATCAGTCTGTGGTTACTTATCATGTATCCCCGACTGGGGACCTGGCCCACAACTCACCTGACTGGGAATCAAACTAGTGACTTTTACAGGCCCGTAATCAATCCACTGAGCTACACCAGCCAGGGCTGGAGTATTCTTTTTTTTTTTTTTTAATTTTATTATTTATTTATCTTTAGAGGGGAAGTGGGGGAAGGAGAGAGGGAGAGAAACATCAATGTATGGTTGCCTTTTGTGCGTCCCCTGCTGGGAACTGGCCTGCAGGGAACCGGCCTGCAACCCAGGCATGTGCCCTGACTGGGAATCGAACCGCGATCGTGTGGTTCGCAGGCCCGCGCTCAATCCACTGAGCTACACCAGCCAGGGCTGGAGTATTCTTTATCTTGGTAGGTGACATTCATTTAAATTGCTGTAGTTATCTTACTTGGTTCATTTGAAAGTGATGAGATTATAGTGACATTAGCATTTCTCTACATTACGAATAAGTACTAATGGAGGCTTTATTATTGTTCCATCACCGTTTTTCTCCCTCTGGTGGTTACATAATCTTTCCTTGAACTGTCATATGCTCAGAGGAGTCCAGTGCTGATGTTCTCCATGAATCCAATCCCATCAGGAAATGAAGAGTTCCACCAACTGAATTTTCCAGAAAAATAGAAGCTTGATCCCTTTGACAAAATTTTATATTTACGAGAGAAATTTTTTGACCTGTATTTATTTATCCCTTTTACCTAAAATAAGATACAATTATTTATATTAAATAATTAAACTTTTAAATTTTCTTCTAGATGAATAAGGTCATTAGCAACAGAAACGTTGGACTTTCATATAGTGATAGCCAGTGATTTTTTTAGACTGATTTTGCTAGGCTGTTTTTTTAAATAGTTTTTTAGCCTCCACTTGCCATCTTTGTCTTGCTGCTGTCAGAGAGTGGACCTCTAGCATGCTCCCAAGCACCTGCTGTCCCCCTCACCCTGCTGTTTTTAATTGGCTCTGATACGAGATCTGTGCCTGTACGAGATCCATAACTTAGTTTTCAGACCTCAGTTAATCCCCCAGAATGTCTGCTGTCTAGTGGGATCTTCCTCTGTAAAAGAAATCACTTTCATTGTACCCCCTTTCCATGTAGTTCTGTTCACAGGGTCATATTATCCCGGTTATCAGCTACATTCTAAACAACTTGGCTTACTTGTGGCCTGACCTCTGAACAAGTAGAATTTACTAAAATAGAACTTTGGACATAAAATAGTTCCTTTTTCATTTAAAGAGAAGTCATTTAAAACTCCAGATAAGCTGAGGGTATTTTCATTTGTTAAAGGTCTTATAGCTTAATGCTTTTTATTTAATTGGCAGGAGCAGCCACTCTGTAAAAGAACCAGCATCTGCACTTCACCGATTCTCCCAGCGTCGCCGAAGAACCTACTCCGATACAGACTCTTGTAATGATATGTCTCTAGAAGACCCAGATAGTAAGTTAGATGGGGTTTGTCTCTCTTTGGTCTATTCAGCACAATTATTTTGGGTCTTTGTAATTATTGAAATGAAGAATGCTGACAAGTAAGCACTATATTTGGGCCATTGTACTTAGAACTGAATTTCTTAGTTGAGAGTTAAGCAAACAGTACGTAATCAACAGACATTCAGATATCGTTTTACAAATGCCTTTGTTATTAACTAAGACATGCTGAGTAACTCTTTGTAAATACCAAATCTTAGGCTTAACGTATAATACCAAAATCTTTCATTCTCACCACATTTGCATTTAAAAAATATTTTAGAAGAAAAAAGTAACTTGTAGGTAAGATTTAGGGCAAGTTTACAGTTCTAAAAAGAAATAAAAACAAGTTCTAAGTTTAAAGGAAAACATCAGCATTGTTAATGAAATAATTTGAAATGGCCAAGGAAGGTAATTTTTTACTGGTGGTGATGGTCAGTTATAGTAGCATTTATTCCTGTACCTTTTTTATCCCTTGCTACTTTCTATGTTTTTGGCAGCATACTGTGATTTAATATTTTAGGAAAGATTTTGTGATTTATGTTAAATTTTAACTATTTTTCTTTTTAGGGAAAAAACTTTGAAAGGGTGTCAGATTATCTAGTTAGACAGTAATGATCATGATTTCCACTGAACACAAATAGTCTTAATACAATTCCATCAGTAGGGTTTTGCTTTTCAAAGTCTTTACTGTTGCCTGTGAAGCATGTAGGATAGAAATTACACATAGTTCCTAATTACATAACAGATTTTGTGCCAAGAGTTTATTTGTGAGTTAGTTGTGTGGAACACAGATTTTATTTCCCTGGTGGAAATGACAAGTGGTGGCTCGGTTCTTTAGATTGCCTAGAAGAGCCCAGCGACTTCATAGTATGGCTAAAGTAGGACAAAACAAACTGGGGTGGGTTTCTAGTATTTGAATACATTGGAAACATTGATTAAGATAGAGTTGTTTTACTTAACCAGGTTAAACAGGCTTATCTATAGGAGAATGTAGAGTTCATGAAGATGATGGAGATTCTAAAAGGGACTGCTGGCTATTTTCAGATCTTTAGAAGTTGATGGTATCTTTTATGCCCATTTTTATTACAGAACTAATAATCTACGTATTGATATAAAGCACTTCTCTGTGCTCATTACCATTTTCAATTTAAGTTGGGGCAATGGATAAAGACAGGAAGAAAGGAAAGGGGTAAGAGTGATAAGGGCGAGGGAGAAAGAAACCTTCCTGGGTGTTTAGGACAACTTGGAGGAGGCAAGGAAAAGAGGAAGAGGGTTACAGAGGTTAGGTGTGGAGAAAAAACTGTTATCTGATGTGTGTAATAGTATTCTGATTTACCATGTTTTCTGCCTTCTATCTGTGATCCTTTAATCCAGAGCTCATGAAAAAGTTCTCGATGCTGCCTTGTTCTTTTCTCCAGATGCCACTTCCCTTTTTCTTTAAGGGGAACTTTTCATTTGTGATAGCTATATTGATTTCTTCCAAGCTAGCCATTTTCCTTAGCTCTCTTCTGTTTTAATCACAGTTTTCATATAATATCTAAGTATAAAGCCTTACTCCATTTAGCAGTCCTTAATGTAGTTGTAAGGAGTGCAACAAAACTACTCACACATACATACATGTGGATACATATGCATACATATTCATCAGACGAGATCTGGCACATTCAGGGTGGTATGGCTGTAGACTCATATGTATTCATATACATATAGGTATCTCAGTTCTTTAGAACTTTTTAAAAATTGGCCAGTGTAGACTAGGTCAGAAGTTTTATTCTTAGATTTCCTTCTGTTTATCTGAAAGTTTAGTGGCACAGTTAGTAGACAAAGCAGAGACCGAAGAGTGCTCTTTCTAAGAAAATACCTGGTTTACAATTGGCAGTCTTAGTTGAAAGTCTTTATCCCTAAAAATTATTTTCTTTGAGAGATGCAGCTGCTCCTATCTTTATTAACTAGACTTAAAAAATAAAAGCACTAAGTGTTAATGTTAAATTTAAATGGTATGTACCTGTAAAAGTACAGCTGCCTTGCAACCAGACCATGCCAGTGTGTTTAGTTGTGTTCACTGGCAGCTAGAGCGGTAGTTTCTGAGTTGCTTTGCAGATGGAACTATGGGAAGTTTCAGAGTGGGTTACCCTGTCAGCTTTGCTCAGAAAGAGCAAGACCTGCATCAGCCCTAGTTCTGTTCCTAATTTTTGATCTTGTGTTTGGAATGTAAGCTTTTTTCGGGTCATGGTTTCTTTGCCTAAAAGCAAGGTTATTGACATAATTAAAACTATCAGGCTGAAAAAAACTATAGTTAATTAAGAAAGACTAAATTCAATTCAGCTAATACTGACTGCCCATTATGTGCCGACCATCGTTACAGTGATGAACGGCATAAATATTTCTACTTCAGGTGGTTTCATAATTTATCTCATGAATGCTGAAGTTTCTCCTTATGACTACCAATAATAGGAAAGTTAGATTTTTCTCTATTAATCAAATGATCAAAAAACTAGTAGGAAGCTAAAGTAATTCATGTCTCTGAATAGAAAACTTAAAATGTTCTTCACAGAGGATTGGAATTAATATTAATGGGTTGTTTAACCTTTTAATCAATTTCTTAATAGGGCCTCTTCACTGTTCAAGAAATACACTTAATGGAGATTTGGCATCAGCAACCATTCCTGAAGAAAGCAGACTAATGGCCAAAAAAAAATCTGAATTGGAAGATCCTCTTTCATCCTCCTCTTCTTGAGGAAACCGAAGTGTCCAACTTCCTCTAAGTATTGCTATGCAAAAGCTGCTGTAATTAAACTGTGTTGTAGGGAGTAGTTCTTCCCTTAGGATTTCTCTGCACTTTATAGTATATTGTAAAACAGACAAAAACCACATACCTTTGAAGTGTATTTTATCTTTATATAGTTTATTTGCAAGAGTATTTTCCTAATAACTTCACAGTATGAATGTGCATCTTTTTTTCTTTTTAAACAAATGATGGTGTAACATTTTGACATCCATAGGGACAAATGTAGATATTTTTCTAAAAAACTGTGAGGGACTGACAACTTAGTCAGTATATTGTAGCTTATAAACATGAGATCTTATAAATGTAAGGTTTCAGTTTGACAGAAGTGTGATATATGTAACTTGTGCCATGGACCAAATGGTCACTTTCCCCCAGCTGGAAATGAGTTACGATAGCATCTTGATGGTGACTGTACTGTATTCCTTTAAGCAAAAAGGAAACATTTACTATTCTAAATATTTTTAGCCTGAATCCCGTGACACTGAGGATTTTTTACAAACCAGATCATGCTGTCCTTCGTATGTGAAGTTGACACTACTGATTTGTCAAAACCAAATGTTGGGTTAAAGTATTTCTTTTTTATTTATTTATTTTCTTCTTGCATCAAACAACGACCTACCAAATTTAAGTTGTGTATACATTGGTATTTACACTGTTCTAGAAAAGAGGTTAATGTTGTAGTGACCTTGCTCACCAGAGAAATAAATGACTTTCAGTGGAAGAAGATTTTAGCGCTTTTTTCTCCTAAAATAGACATTAAGCTGCAGTTTTAAGGTATTAATGTTTGCAGCTCTTTAGAATATCGAGAGACATTTTTTTTATTTATAAATATTTATACAAAAAAGGAATTCTCTCAAGGAAACTGTTCTATATCACTTATTCGAGAATGGCATTATTTAATTAAAGAACAAATAGCTTTTTTTTTTGGTATTTTCTGTTCATATCTATTGTCAGTGTTTGCCTTGTAAACTGTTTTTTTAATTCACTTTGGAGTGATGGTTTTGTTCGAGGTCTTGAATGAGGAGCACTTTAAAACAAACTGGTTTGGTGTTTTTAAGTTAATAATGTGTTTAATAAATATGTGGTTTTTGCATTCAAACTCATCATATAATACATCGTATTTTTTTACACTTGTTGATATTCTGTCTAATTTTTATCAGGTTTTAATAGTATTCATTATTGCTTTGATTTTGTTTGTATATTCAGACCTCATAGTGAAAACACTAATGAGGCATATTTTTCATTTTGTTGCCTATAAGCTTAAAACAGGGTGGCTTATTTCACTCAAAAATTTTCTTATATGCTTATGTGAGAATTTTTTTAAAGTCAATACTTGGTATGTACTAAAGTAAATCTGTAATTATAGGCTTTCTCCTTTAAGTTTAAAATGGACTCATGCAATCTATAATTATTAATATGCATTAAGATAAACTGGATGCTACTTAAAAGTATTTGTGATTTTAAATAGCACAGAGGTCATTCGATTGTATCCAGTGGAATCTTTTTCTGTTCGGAGGTTTTGCTTCATATGTCCTATTTGAGAAAAAAAGTTTGATAATGTAGTAAGTTTTCATATTGAGCAAATAGATTTTTTAATTTCTTTTTTGTTTTTGATTTTCAATTTTTTTGTAGTAAGAACCTGTATTGTGATAAGACCATGAAGTTCAAGGTGCTACTTGATAGGGAGTTTTTCTGGTAGTTCTTTTATGAACTGATAGGTTTATAATGAAAATACTATAACAAGGTTTTGAACTCCTAGAAAATAAATCCATTTTCTATTGCTTTATCCAAAAAGCTGAGTTCCTGAACAGTTTTCTGTAAATTTTTAAAAAAATAAAATGCAGTCATTTCTGGTACATATTTTTTCCTTCTTGAAACAGGTGCTTTGAACAAGTTTGTTACATTCCTACGAAAGGCTTTTATTGTGACTTGGAGCCACTTTTTTCTCTTAGGAGCCAGTATATTTGTGAAATGTTTTTTTGAGGGGATTTAAATGTATCTAGGTTTTCATCAGTGAACGGGAGGCATGAAGCAACCTATAATGCTCAGGGAACCTGCATTTTGAGGAGCCCGGTGCATTTTTTCCTTTTTTTTCTTACCTGAGGATACTTTTCATTGATTTTACAGAGAGAAAAGGGGGGGGAGGGGAGAGAGGGAGAGAGAGTGAGAGAGAAACATCGATGTGAGAGGCAAAGGTCAATCAGTTGCCTCCTGGAAGTGCCCTGACCTGGAATCGAACCTGCAACCTTTTGGTGCATGGGACAATGTTCCACCTATCTGAGCCACCCGGCCAGGACCCCTGGTTTATTTTCAGGTGTGCTTGACTTTTCTGAAGTTTAAGAAAAAGATGAAGCAAATAAGAACAATTCTGTAAGGATTTTGGCTTGTCAGGATTTAAAAAAAAATAGTATGTAACTATTGGTTGTCCTTGTTTTGCTCTGTCTAGGCCATGGGATTGCTGAGAAATGTGGAGACCCTGTGTATCAGCAATCTAAGCAACACCAGTACTTGCTTTTCTTTTCAAGTACCTGGTTTCTGTTGTGTGAGAATTGCAGACCTCCATGATTAAAGCAACCTTCGTGAGAATTGCTTTATAAATGGACCAAATTTGAACTGTGTCATATTACATTGAATTATTGTGTTATGTTCAATCAGGACAAGTCGAGAAATGGATGCATTTCTTAAACTTAAAGTCTAAGCCAAGAAATAAAGTACTCCATTTCCACAGTTATCATGGAAGCTTTGCCCCTGGATTGTAGTTTTTCACTGTGCATAATTACATTTCGTGTTTAGCAGACATCACAAAGATCTCAGGAAATACATCCCTGTAATACGTTACTCTTATACTACTGTTTATACTGACTGCATGCACATTATAATATTACTTTGGAGTCTACCAGTTTTTTACTTCTTTTTATCAAATGAAGTGCCTCTGGGTCTGTCCTTTGAGCCTTGCTATTGCCACTTGGTGCAGAGGGAGAGTCCTGGCCTGGAAGAAAGCCTGGTTAGGCTGGGGAGTCCCTTTCAGGAGGTCACCCTTTCAGTAGCCCTGGTGGGTAAGTTAACTGTAGCTGGTAGACAGGGCTCCTTTTCATGCCTTTCCAGTTCCTTTCTTTAAATTCATACTGAATTTGTAAGTTAAAAAATCTTTTTTTCTTTTAAATTTAGCTTTCTTTTTTTCTAAAGGAATTCATGCATATCACTAAAAAACCAAATAGAACTAGAAGGGTTATAATGAAAAGGACTAGCTTCCTTTCTCCCAGCTCAGCGCCCCAGAGACGAGCACCTTGAACTCTTAGTGGTGTGTTCTCTCTTTGCCTTCCAATTTGGAAATAGTAATATTACTTTTTCTTGATTTATCAATTTCAGAAATGGTTCTTGAATTCCATTTATGGCAGGCAGGCTTTACTTTTCTTATAACCCTGTCTCCCCCATCTCTTTCAATATAGATTCATCACAACTTGTTAAATCAGTAGATAATAAATTGTGTTCCCTGATGAACCCAGTGATGAACTATCATTATTTCCTTTCTACTGGAATCTTATTTTCCCCACAACTAATATTTGCCTGAATTTGGAAGTTGCTAACTTTTTTTTATGTACCTATCTCAATGATTACCCAAAGGAAACATAAGATAACCTGTCGGCTTTTTTTATTTTGTTTTGTTTTTTGGGGACATTTTTTCCACAGTCTTTCCTCTTCCACTATCTGAACCATTACTCTCCAGGCCTGTGCACAGGCCGATGGCCACCCTGGGAAGTCCCTTTCTGTTTTAGTCTCTGGGCTAAAGTCTCTGTTTTAGTCTTTGGATCCTATGACTTCCTCTTTCTCGCTGTATTGCCCTTTCTTTTGTTTTTGTCAAAGTGTACCCACTACCAAAAACTTTCTAGGGAAAAGTGCATGAGAAGTAAAAATTTTGAGACTTTACAGTTGTGAAAATGTCTGTGCTCTTGATTTGATTGGTAGTCTGGAATCTATGTTGGAAGTGTTTTTCCCTAAGAATTTTAAAGGCAGCCATCCATTGTCTTGTGGCATTTGTTATTCCTGTGAAAGGTCTCATGCTCTTTTCTTACATGGGACCTGGTTTTATACTCTGGAAGCATTTAGGGGCTTCTCTTTACTCCTAACATTTCATGGTGATGTGTGGGTCTTCATTCATTCATTCACTCATTCATGTTGATGGGTATTTGACTTGGTGGAGTCTGTTAATAGGGAGACTTCTTCAATTCTGGGAAATTTTTTGTTTTATCTTTTTGATAATTTTCTGTCCTTCATTTTCTGCATCTGTTGTTCTAGAATTCCTGTTATTTGAATGTAGGAACTTCCAGATTGGTCATATAATTAAAAAAATTTTTCCAGTTGCTCCTGAAGTTGTGTGTGTGTATATATACATATATATATATTTATGTATGTGTGTGTATAAAATATATGTATTTTTTATTATCCTCTGGCTCTTTTGTTAATATTTTTAAAGCTATGTTTCGATTCCTAATTATCTTTTATCTTTTCTAATTATCATGATAGGACATTATGAAAAAGAACAACAGATTCAATGTCTTTTCATTATCCCCAGGGATACTTAGGGTTTCTTTTCCCCTCACGTCTTTCCTGTTCGTTGCATTTTCTGTTTCTTTCATGTCCCTATTTTCTGTTTATTTGTTCCCTATTTTCTGTTTATTTGTTGTGGATGACACCTCACATTCTGAAAGCTTCAGTAGAAAACTAGAGAGGCCGTCCATTCTATTTAGGGTCAGGTCCTAAGAGGTCAGTTTCATAGGCCTGAAGGGCCATCAGGCAGATTTGGCCTTGTTGTTGGAGTCCCCTTAAATTTCCAGTAGGGGTCTTTTCTTCTCTTTTCCTTTTTTATACCACTGTAGTAACTGATTCATTTATTTATTTATTTTTATTTAAAAATTTAAAAAAATTATTTATCTTTGGTGGGGAAGGGAAGGAGAGGGAGAGAAATATCAATGTATGGTTGCCTCTTGTGCATCTCCTGCTGGGAACTGGCCTGCAACCCAGGCATGTGCCCTGACTGGGAATTGAACTGTGATCCTCTAGTTTGCAGGCCCGCGCTCAATCCATTGAGTTATACCAGCCAGGGCTGATTTATTTATTTCTTAACATAGCTTTTTATTTTTTCCTCTTTTTAAAAAAATTGTTTAAGTATAGGGGAGTGTGTAGAAAATAAACTTCTTTACTATTCTATACTTCATTCTTTCCACTCTCTGATGCTTTTTGATTAATGTGGTTTTACTGTACTGCCTACCTCGTAGGGTTGATGTGAGGGCTAGAAGAATAAACACACATAAAGCACTTAGAACAGTACCTGGCACATGGTGGTATAAAGGAAGTGTTAGCTATTATTAAATTACCATTATTATTATTACTACCTTTAATTCAGTAACCCACTTAGACTTAAATGAAGAGGTTTTCAGCATAAGAAGACTTGTTGACACATGAGAAAATCCAGTGTTGGTAATGTGGACACTGCATTCTTAACCAGGGTTCACACGAGATGTTCAGGTGTTACATTTTATCTGGGACACATTAAAGCCTTAAAAAAGTCCAATCAGTAATAGTTAGTCTAAACGTTTTTAAAAGTGTACAGTAACAATTTTGATGTGCTTTTAAGCTTCACTGGCATGTTTTTGTTTTTATCACCTGAATATGAAGTATAGAGTGTAACTGAGGCGATATTTGCCTTGCCTCTCCTACAGCCAGGAGGCGCCGCACTCATAAGCAGAAGGGAGACGTTGAGAAGTCATGGATTGCAGTCACTATACCATGACTTCTGGTGGGTGGCTGTGACTTTTCAGAAAATGTGAATTTATATAAGCAAAATGCTTGTGTTTGCTCATTTAAATATCTTCTTTGTGTCTGGATTGAGCATGTAACACAGAATTCAGCTTCTTAAGAGGGGAAGTGGGAGTAGGTAGTCCCACTACTCTTTAAACAGATAGCGAACCTGTCTATATTGGGGAAGGGGGTTTTTATTTCTAAGATTTGCATTCTCCCTTATTAGAGTTCCATGGCTGAGAACTGGCTTATAAATATAAGCACCAGGAGAGATGAGGAAATTTTCTACAAAAGGTATGGCCAGTTGCCCAGTGTGATTGATTGAGCTTCTTTGCGAACTCCCAGGATCCCTTTGGCAGTCGGATGGAACAGACGAATGTGGGGATGGATGGTCGGCTGTGCCTGCTCCTGGCCCGGTCTGGCATCCTCCTCCCAGGAGCCAGTGTCGCCGGGGCCCCTGCCCGCACGCTGAGATGTTTCATCTCCAGAGCTGTTCTGTCTGCGTGGAGCCCTTATGCTGCTGCCTCTTCTTCAAATGCCGCAATGAATCTACAGATTTTTCCAGGGCTGAATTTGCCCTTTCTGTCCCATAACGTGCTCTCTTTCCCCTCAAAATAACTTCTGTTGGTCTCTTTGATAATAAAACACTTTGGAACAGTTATGTGTGCCAGTTGCCTCAGCTCATTTTAGCCTCTTAACAAAGATGTTAAAGTACAAAAAATACAAGAGCAACAGGATGCCCAGAACCAGAATGAACTCATATGTGGCTGATTAGAATGATGAATATTTTGTTACTGTGTCCGGAAATACTAAGTGTTTAAATGATCTCTTTATTTTATTTTGTATTCTAGTTCTAGACTAGTGTTAATTGCTAATTTAATAACCCAGAATTTAATCACAAAATCCCAAATTTATGGCAGGACGGATTAAGTTTTGATTAATTGTGGATAGGAAAATCAAATGAATTAATACAGTGATATTAACATATTAAGTAATTTTTGATATCAGGGAGGGGTAGTTTCCATGAGCAATGTATTCAGAATATCAAAGGTGAATAAAATATATGACTCTTAATGAATTTCCTCAGTTTTATTCTATCAGAGTGCAAGGAGGATGCTGTTGATACTCTCTGTGCTTTTAAAAGTGTGTCACAAAGACTGCGTTACCCACTTAAATCTCCATGTTAAGGGTGGTGCCAGATTTGGTAGTGTGGAGACAGGAACAGAGGAGAGAACTTTGTTTCAAAGGGACCCACAGCCACCAGGAGCTAGAGCCGCGCACACACTTCCTGCCCAGCCTCTGGGTGTCAGGAGGCAGAGGCTGTCATTCAGGATGAGACGAAGCAGGTTAGGAGTAAAGAGTGAGTCCTGTGTACTGAAAAGGTCCCTTCTAGCACTGCTCTGTAAATTCTGGGACAGCTGTGTTATTTCTTGCCCTTGCTCTTACTTTTTAAAAGCAGTTCCTGAATACATCCTCTTTATGAAGTAATCACTTAGACAATACAAATAAAACAAAAGTTCACCTCGACATCCCCACTTCTCTAGGAATAACCACTCTTTTCTGGTGTGTGTCCTTCCAGACCTTTTCCCTGTGCGTGGACTGATTTGACATAGGTCGTACATTGCTGCCATTTCAGGTCAGCTCCTTGGTAGCAAGGTGATTAAGCGCACAGTGGTGTGTCTCTGTGTGCGACCGGTAATGAAAAGCCAGGTGAGTCTATATATCTTCACAAATACTCTTTTGTGGGTGACAGAATCATGCTGACCTCTGCTGTTGTTGACCAGGCAGGCATTTAGGCTCTTATTTTCTTTACTCCCTCTCTGCAAAGAAAGGTGAATTGATTGCTTTTCTAGATAGCTAGAATGAGAAAATCCTAGCGTGTCTGTTGCTTCTCATTAACCCTGTGTGTGGCAGCATGTATGTGCGGGTCTGTGTGCATGGTTTCTTGGTCGTAGACTGTGCAACTTGGAATCGTTTTGTTTTGAGATACAGCTTTATGTTTAGTTTTATAATTGACTTTACAAGTTTAGTTACAAAGGATAGAATAAGTGTGCTGTGGAAGTTACCAAGACTTGGTCAAAATAGAGTTGTGATTTTTTATTTTTGTTTGGCAGCAATCAAAATATGACCTAGAAATTAAGGGTTAAGCATCCAGATTTCTGTCAGGGGATGAATATGTGTCCATGTAATTAAAATAATCTTTACTTGATGCATTTATATGGTGAATGAGTAAACAATAAATACCTTCTAAATCTTGCCACCAGAATCAGACTCTGTAATTGAATTACATAGGAATTCTATACTCTACCCTTTTCCGGTGGTATTTTGGTTGCTAGGTGTTGCTAGGTTCCCCCAGTGTTGCGACTTGCCTCTAGCATCTGCAGACTCTGCAGAGCCCCTGACCAGATGCCTCCTCCTGGGTGAGGCCTTAGAGTACACGTGGTACTCTTCTGTTTGTCTTTATTCTTTTTTGCTCGTTTTCTTGTTTTGCAGTGGTTGGCCACAGAGAAATATGTAGCAATAAATACCTGTTTTTTTGTGTGTGTTGTTTTTAGCATCGCGACTATGGATGGCATACTGTCTTTATGGTTTTCATCTCTCTGTACCAACTCTGATAGTGTGGCTTTCAAGGACTCTGACTTTGAGGCTAGATCCGCAGAGAGTGACCTACCCACTTGATTACTGTTATCTGCCGTGGGCTTGTGGGAGAGTGCGGGGAGTGGTGGCAAGGACTCGCCATCATCCAGAGTATAAGGCAGCGATCACGCTCTGATGGTGTAACTTTGGCAGATCAAATTTTTAAGTGCGCACAATAAACAAAGTATTAACAACTCACAACTGATTTCCTGTTTTCAGTTTCCACCATCACACTAGGATGAACTTAATCTAATTGTATATTTTTTAAATGCAAACAGAAATAGCTTCTCATCTCTGTCCAGGCCAAGTGTGTACCTGTGCCTAAGTAACACACACTGTCCACTAACTAGCAGTGCCTTTGAGAATTTGAAGACCCTTGCAACATTATTGACATGTGCTCAGGGAAAAAAGACATTGCCGTCCTTTTAAAAAACTTTAAAAAGTGTGAGTTTAGCATGTGAAATTCAGTAGTGTACCAGTGCTTGACAACCCACTGTTTGTGTTTAGACCACTCTTAGTTATCACTCCAGAGATGAGTTTTAGTTCATTTCAGTTTGCATAAGTAGCAAAACTCCTTAGAAGGACTATTGCCCTTCTTTCTCTGTGCTATGTTTTTAAAATATAGCTCATGATTTCTTAGGTGGGGAATTATAGATTGTAGCTTTTCATGCTTTTCTGGATTTGGCCACACAGTGGCCTTGACCTCCTAGCCTTCCCTTGGGACATGTGGCTTCATCTGCTCTCGTGATTACATATGTCATGTCACTTCCAGATTTAACTCCTGCAGGTGTTTTCTTTCTCTGGGGGGAGTATGAGGGGAGTAGGGAGTGACTATAGTTTCAGATGATGTTTCTTTTATTTATTTATTTATTTAATATTAAATTTTATTTAGTTACTTTTCAAGTACATTTTTTTTAATCTATTTCTCCCATCCCACCCCACCCCCCCGCCCGGTCTCCTCCCTCCCTCCCATTCCCCCCCCCAGTCCTCATCTCTGTGTCTTTCATACTTGTTCCTCAAAATCCCTCCCCCTTTTTCTAATAGTTCAAATTCATCGCTGGCTTGATCCAGAGAAAAGTAAAAGACTCACTTTGGCTTTTGAATTTATATATGCTATTTCAATATTTTCTTTTACCAGCTCTGAAAAAAATCATGATTGTATATTATAATAATCAAGGTTGAATGGTACAAAATAAATTTCCAAGAGCTTTTTAATATTATTCCTAATTAGACAAAGATAAAGTCCTATGAATGTTCTCCATTCTTTCTATTTTTACTTTTTTCTTACCACTTTATTTTATCTTTTCTCCTTTTTTGTTTGATTACACAGTGCCCCTTCTCTTAAATAGCCTCTTTAATATCTCTATATTTGGTGGACTGTTTTGGAAAAGAAAAAGAATCACTTAAGAATGGTGGTGAGTTCAGGGGGACATTTAATAAGGGTTGCTTATATGTTTATTAACCTTTCTAAACAATTTTTGTTCAGTTAATATTCATTGACCACTTAACCATACCACTTAAGTGCTATGTTGCTAGTATCCACCTTTGCTTCTAATTCTTGAGTGCATTTAACACTTATTGCTTTATTTTTAATAGTTTAGATAAATTGAATATCTTAGCTATAAATTGGCTTTCCTAAATTTTCACCATTTAGTTGAATCTTATTATTCACATTTGCACACCACTATTATTTTAATGTCAACATGAATGAGCAGGCATTTGAAAATATGATTGTTTCAAAATAGCTTTATCTTTGTTTATATAAATATTATTGAAAACAAACATTTTTTGCCTTTTAAATGTTTTTATTTTGGTTAGTCATAACTAATATATATAATAGTTCTTGCAACAAGAGTTTGTGGATATTTCATTGAACAATTTGTAACTTTAGAAGTCAAATAAGTTGGAAATACTGAAATTGATGGAAAAGATAATCTCTAAACAAGCTAAGAAACCTACTAGCAAATATGGCTTTAAATTGATACAACTAAGCACTTTAATTTGGAAACATTTTTAGGATAGGATTTTTATTTCCAGGGGAAAAATAAATTTCATTAAAAAATATATGTATACTTATTTTTGTGAGTTTTCTTTTTTTCTCTTTTAAATGCCAAAAGGTGTAGTTTATATTTTTGTTATGGCAACTCTGCTTGTTTCAAGTATTGTAGCAATTTAATAAATGAATAAAATTAAGCCATGTCAACAGTGTGGGGGGAAATGTTTAATAAATTTGCCATGTCGATGAGAAAAATTTAAGTACAGCATGTTTTGAAAG